TTTTCGAGGTATAGCAGTGTCGTAGTATACAGATTGGGAAACCTGCTATAGACCGAAAATCACAAAAAATCGGTCCGGCGTATTACATTCACAACATGAAAATACGAGAATATCGGTTGGAAACCGAAGACTTATCGATCGATAGTTAGGGGATCCCCCAAAACAGAAACTGCAGTTTCGATTCATCCGCCCTTGTAACTTGCGCACTGCGCATCGCACACACACACTCGGCGGGTTTCGAAATTCTCTCGCTTTACAAAAATCTAGATCACTATATCAATAATTGCTTGATAACTCGCTAATTATACGACATAATTCGCCCAAAATCAATAGGCTTCTGGTCCGAGATAAGATGAATGCACATGCAAAATCTGGAGCAGATTCAATCTCGCTTTCGTGAGATATCGCGTGCATCTAACAGACACACACACAGACAGACATACAGACAAATACCTATCAATATACTTACCGATCTTAAGATCGATAAGTAATAAATCGCACTATGGACAAATAAAAATAATATACGTAATATCGTCAGGCTAATAACCGAATTACCGGTTGGTTGTTATTGAGTGCGAATTGTTATTTTATTCTTTATATTTAATATATATGGGAAGCCTTATTTTCGGTGGACGTGTAGAACGCGTTGTATTGATAAAATATATATTTAAAACATCAACAATAATGTTATTGAAACAGATAAGCTATTTTTGGGCTTAGACATCGTAGATATATACTGGGAATTACATACGTTTTTCAAATGTTTCTATCGCCCATGCAAAATACAGCAATATTATTAAATCACCAAATTGTAAATAACTTGTAATTATACCTCTCATTACATAATCGTGCTTTTTAGCAGCAGACCATAATCTTACAATTCGATTAAAATACCTCGAGGCCTCGTTTTGACATCGAAGAACTTTAGAAACGGCTTAAGAAAACTATTTTATTTGTGGTTCATAACAGAACCGATGCATTATTGCGTTAGGTAAATTTCGACAAATGTTTAGCAGTCGAAAAAGTGCAGTAGAAATAAATTTAAAGATAATGATAAAACAACGTTCATTTAGTATCATGAAGCTATTGCGTCCATTTTTATATTCCAGAACTTTCTTCAAAATGCAAGTAGTGTTGGCCGCGGAATGAAAGTCGATAAGTTTTAGAATTGTTGGCTGTCTTAGTTGTTTTATATTATATATTACTTACGTTACATTTGATATTAATGGTGCAATTTCAATTATGTGTCAGTAGCATAAAATTATAATTCTGCTGAGGAATACCGATGCGTTCAACTAGAAAATACGGAGGATTTCATGGCACACATTCGAGGCATCATGCGGGCCGGAATCGGCGAGGTATGCTTGTAAAAATATCTAGTTTGTTTATGTTTAGAACTGCTTTGTAAGGAATTATTATAATTTGTACTTGATATTAAGTTTTGTTTTAAAAAAATATCTAACCTACTGTTAGATACTAGGTAGCGAATTGTCGATTTGGTCATCGGTGCCGATTTGTTCTGATTTCAGAATTTTATCTTGATCTTGCAAGAGGAAAATCCGCAGTTTCTTGCGGTGATCGTTTCAATTAGATTCTACAATTTATGAATGTATGTCTTTAAATGTTCCTATTTTATTTCAGGTGAAGAATGTGATACAAAATAAACCTTTGTTGCTTCTTGTCTGTGTTTTCTACTTTTTTCTGGTGATCGCTTTTGTGCCAGCGATGATTGCAGGTTTCAACGCGGCAACTATTATTCCCCCGATTTGTACCGGGTCGATATTGTTAATTTTTGTGTTGTGCCTCATTGTTCCTGACATTCATGATAAATGTGCTCAAAAAACAACTCAAAGTCCAACAAAAAACAGCGAATCGGCAGAATTATAAAACAACGGAATTCGAACTATTTCTTCTCCGACTGTTATCCGATTCTACATACGTGCTCTCTCATATCCGCCCCAGCCCTCTCACACAGGTGCCGGGTCTTTGGAATTGAATACGCGGGTTTGCAACATAAATGCTATAAGTTCGGAATCAACACAGAGACATGAACATGTAAATCCGAAAAATGTAATTACTGCGTTTGCCGAACCTAAACCAAACTGATGGAAAATATTCAAACGAAAAAGTTATTACAACCTTGAATGGTTGAATTTGTACAAAAGATGATCCTTCTTCGTCAAGAAGTTCACGCAGAAATTCAAGTAGCAGTGATAGTAATCGTCTTCTATTGAGAAGTTCTATCGAATCAAGTAACTCGAATCTCAGCCTCGATAAACCGCCTTCATACAACAACTTTGAACTTACTGATGTCGTGTGTGTTGATTCAGAAAAGTCGTTTATCACATTTCAACGCAAATGGCTGGAACCTTCCTTGAGTTCTAACAAAGATATATACACTGCCTCGTCTACACCTGCAGAAATCGTCATGGAACAAGAACAAAGCACATCTGAGACTAATGAGTCAAGTCCGCCTCCCTACTCATCTTTAGAAGACTGAAATTAACATATAAAGAAAAAATACTTATTAACCCGACAAAAATTCTAAACAAAGATTCAGCAAAGCTTTTAACTTCTTGTTTTCAGTATGTAAACATTAAGACTGAAATGCTGATTGCCCAATACATGTATAAAAGTATTTGTATGGTTATATGGAGAATGTCTTTGAGCAAAGAAAACTGCATGCGAATAAATTTTACTAACGAAAGTTTAAGGTACCGTTTTGCCCATGGCAGGTTACGATTTTCGGTGCTCCCGTAGTATGTGAACCAGGTTAGGGTTGGGGCATAATTTTATTCCGATTTTCACTATTGTAGTACTAATATATATATATACGAGTTCGGGACTGTCTGTGTTAACCAAGTGGGTATAACTCCTGCACATAGCTTTCAGTCCATTTACACAACTTGATGTAAAATAGGCGAACAAAATTAGTTACCTCCATATTGGAGAAACATACTTCTGGAGCGTCCGATTTTCAGATCACAAAATCAATGCAGTATAAATAATAAATCAAGTAAATGAGGCAGCAATTTAGTTTTTTATTCACAAAAAAAGAATACAATTTTCTAGAACATTTAGTTGGAACACTCGAGGGTGTATATCGACTTGAACCACAATTAGCGTTTCAATATGATCAATATGTAGATTACCAAACGAACATACTGCATTGTTGATCGTGGAACTCCGCTCTCAATCTCGTTGTACGGGAATCTCGTTGTACGGGAATCTGTGATATACGCGCTTGGTTACTCCCGAAGTATGTGAAGCCAAAATGGCGGACGTCGGAACGTAGTATGTGGACCAGGTTAGGATCAGGACATAATTTCAAATACAAATACTACGGGTGTTACTTGGCTAGTCCCCGAACTCGTAATAAAACTGAAAGAAATAAGGGAAATTGGAATAAAACCTATGGCCTAACCCGAACCTGGTATACATTCTACGTTCCGATGTCCGCCATCTTCGTTCACATACACCAGGAGTAACAGCGCTAGTCCTATTTTCCATATAAACGCAGAGGATAGAAATTCTCAAAACGATTCTTCACTCTCACAACCAGAATTGAAGGTTTTATGATTCGATGGCCTTTAATTGCATGGATGATGTAGAATTACGCGATAGAAATATGGAAGGATACTTGTAAAAGAGGGCGAAAAACATTACTGATTCTTGATTGCATGGCCGTTGTATTAGTGACTTTCGTGCATTCTTAATTATAGCAGTAGAACCCCATTATTTTGCGCGCAATTCCCGTGTGTTGATTTGGTGAAAGGTCAACAAGTTAAAGTGTCTTGAAGACAGAGGCGAGACACCACAAGAACAATTTAATATTCACTATGGCATCCTCAAATTTTATAAATATATTTGATTACGGTTTCCGTAGCTTTTAAATTCTGCCAATTTGCTGTCGCAGGAGCTGGTGCATTTTGCGGGACCACTTTTTACAAAAGCAAATTCTTTCAAAATTAAGTTCTCGCCAAACTATATCCTCACTAGATGCCGCCCGCCCATCAACTTCATCTTGCCCTGTCACACCATCAAAGCGTCCGTTCTTGCAAATGCTTTCCACATGGTCCAGCGTTTTTCAAACTGCGTGCCGCAAGAGATTCTCGGGTGTGTCGCAGAGCTTTTTGTAATTTTAGAAAATTAGCTATATCCGTATTACACATAGGCATGCATGCAACGGACAAGCTTGTGAGACTTGAGTATCCAGTATTAGACTGATAATATTGCATTTGCCTTTTCGTTGTAGTAAGCGTGATTGTCTGCTCTGACTGAAATTAACAGCAAAAAAAAGAGCAACGGAACCTCGTTTCAATTGTTTCTCAAAACAGGCACACACATCCTATTTGCAGAATAATTTGTTTAAAGCTAACACAATTTTTTTTTTTTTTTCTCCGTGCGCCGCGAGCAAAAAAAGAACCACATCAGGCATAGACTATCCACTCAAACTAGCATCTTGTTTGACCACGCTGCAAAAGAGAAAAATAACAAGAGTAGTTCTCGATAACTAGCAGAAAGTCTAGCCCTATATGTTAACTTATTCAAAGGAAGAACGAACGTCCGTCCAATACCGAAGCCATTTAATTGATCGCATTACAATCACCGCCATGTAGAATTCATTCCATCATATTTAATATCTGGCAAGCGCTCCAGGTTTCGGGCCTTTGATTGGTGCTTCTGAAGCATGCGTACCAAGTACCATCGGGATGTAGTACTTGTACCAGGTTAGGCTATAATTTTATCCCAATTTTAGTTCTGTTACGAGTTTGGGGACTAGCCAGGTGACTCCCGTAATATTTGTACCTAAAATTATAGCCTAACCCTAACTTGGTACACATACTACGTTCCGGTGTCCGCCATCTTTGTACACATACTTCATGAGCACAATCAATATATGTCAAAAATGGCACGACTGAAGAACCTTAAACGATTAGATTCAACACATTCCTATTTTATCTAACTTGCACAATACCAGAACCTTTAAAAAAACAGTCTTTGCGAGTCTCAAATTCAAAGAAAACAATTATTAAACGGTGGTTAAATAACCGAAAGTATAATACAATAGTGAACTATAGTATTATTTATGAATGTTAACAGACAGTTTGTAGTATTACGTGTACAAAGCTCGGCGAAACGCCCAAATTAAGCATGGTGAATGCAAGTGGGCAATCAACACAAGAGACGCCGATATACGGAGAATGGAGTTTAATATCTGATATACAAAGTTGATCCTCAAAAATGGTTATTTCAGCAGTGACTTACAGAATAAGAAATGCATATTATTATTAACTCGCTGCAAATAAACGATTCGAAGTGAAATTTATTCACGAGACAAAATTTCAGTATATCGAATTCTTGGAATACCCATTTTCAGTCTAATATCAAATCGCCAATTATATCAAAGGCACAACATTTAACAATCAACGTATGTACAGTGAAACTCAAAATATGTAACAACAAAAACGAAAATTTAACAATAAATTGAAATCGTTTAGTGTTTCTCTAGCTTTTTCAGACTCCCTTTGTGTCTTTCGACTTTTTCGCGCAATCGCTTTATTTCCGCCTCTGCCTGTTCGATTTCATCATCATGATGATCTCGCAGTTCTTTCAGTTGTTGGGCTTGAACTCTCCTGAGAAAAATGGTGAAATATGGATGTTTACTTTGAACAATGTTTCCCGACCGGAGAAGCAATGATCCCTGGTCGGAATTTTGTCGCTCTTGGGGAGAAATTCTGCTTTGGCCTTGTATGATTCAGCTCTTTATTATTACTATAATACATATTTATGCATACATTATAAACTACACTTGAACTATACAAAAGCGGGGGCGCTGAAGAAGTGTGTGTGTTGTGTACCAATATGGAAATATCTAATTTTTAATAACTTTATATCAAGTTCTGTAAAGGAACGGAAACCTATGTGCAGGGGGTATATTCACTTGGTTAACACAGACAGTTCCCGAACTCGTAGAACTAAAATAATGAAAATCGGAATGGAATTATGCCCTAACCCTAACCTGGTACACAAACTACGGGAATGCCAAACCGGGAATGCAACTTGCGCATAACAATGAGCATTCGTTAAAAAATAAACAAATGAAGTGAAGTATTTTTATGCCTAGTGGGGGAGCAATGTGAAGTCGCAAAATAGGCGAAGAGAGGAATTTAACCAACGGTTGGGAAATACTGATTTATTACTATTTTGCTTCACTTTTAGGCCTGAGCTTTGCCATTTTGCAAGTGTTTATTCCGACAGAAGTTTATATTAGTACAGTTGAAAATCAACAACTCCTAGTGTATTTAGTGTTTATCATATATACACCTGGGTTGTGCAACCTGCGGCGCGTGTGCCAAATGCGGCCCACAAGAAAAAATTGTGCGCCCGCAGATAAGTGGCGTTCGCCGCGAAATGAGTTTTTCATTCAGTTCAATCAGGTACGTGCGATTAATTCCAATCCCTTTGCGTTGCAAAGTCTATACCCGAGTCCAATTTATTATCTATGCCTATGGCGTTACAACGCCCAAAGAGCTAGCTTGTGCGAACGTGGGAACAACGCATGTCATAAGATCAATAACCAAAATTGTTGGTCCTGTAACTACGAGTATCAATTAAATTAAGTTGTGACGCGCGATTTCTCGAAGGTATTTGTATCTGGCCTTCCTGTATTAAAGGTTGCAAACCCCTAGCATACACCTTCTACTGGGCATATGAATCTTATTATATATAGTAGGTAGTACTATGTATTACTCCTACACCCCCGTACGTTCATGCGCTCCTCCAGATATATCAGAATGCTTTAGCCAATTTTAGCGGAAGAACTAATTTGATGGCAGCACTGTCCGAGGATAGCGTATATCTGATATCACTTGACTTATTGAAATTTTGAATTGAAACAGCTAGCTGTGATTCACAATTCCAATGAGCGTAAAAACGATTAGGAAATCTAATGAAAGATTGCTTGATTAATATATTTAGGTGTTGGATGTTCGGCCAAGCTTCGCATAAGTCTTTTTTACTTCCGAGTGAAATATCATAAAAATAATGATTAGCAGGTAAGCAGGTGGCCTTACCTGAAATACCGATTTTCTTCGGCCTGTTCACGCTCAGCGAATTTTCCTCCTGCTTCTCGGATATGACCTTCACCTGACATTGCTGAATCGAAAAGCAAGGAAATGAAATATACATAATATTATATGGTTAATTGAACTGGCGTAGAATAAAAATACACATATTTTTGTATAAAAATAATTATAGTAGTTTATATCCCAGTTAAAATTCTGCCAACTACTAAATATGGGTAAGCGAAAGCCATCGGATCGAGCAATAAAATATTTCACTCGGGTGCATATGTATATACCATAACTTGTAATAGAACTGAAATGAAGAAAATCGGGATAAATTTATGGCCTAACCCTAACCTGGAACACAACACTACGGAGAACCTTCAATTTTGATAGCATTAAATTGTTTCGGTTCTAATCATATATCGGTACGCTAATTTTACTTGGTCTAAGATGCCAAATTTTGTCGCTACCTAAATAAAATTGGTTGGAATTTTTATCTACGCCCTATTCCACAAAGTCAGACTTATAATTTAGCACTTTTGATCGTAATTGAAGCCGTAGGTTATTGGCTGTGCAAATGCAATTTAAGAATTATCTTTCTACCTGACAACAACTGGTAATGATATAATGCATTCATAACATACTACAAGCTGTTGCATCCATTACAGTAACTGAAATGACGAACAATCACAAGTTGGTTTTGTGTTGCGAACAAAGAAAACAAAATCCCAGTTGAAAAGATAACATGTACTGCCGTTATGGACTATTGTGTACTTCAATGTATTTGAATACGAATGTTCTTTATATCTAAACACCAATTTTAGATGAAATCAAATAATTACCTCTCACAAAGCACATGGGCGCAAATTTTCGTGCGGCAACAATTCTGATGACGCTTGCCATGACTTTTTCCTTCACTCAATCAATCAACTCTAACTGGACAAAATAATACAGGTAGCAAGTAGCATACGCTAAAAAATATATCAATGTATTATTATTGCTGATATCATTTTGATAGCTACACTATAGTTGCAAGATTAAACGGTGACCCAAGGTGGCTTTAATTTGAATAAACTCGCTTATGTTAGTCGCTGCTAACAACAAACTATACAAACACTGAAGTCTTTCCGTAATAAGAAAACCTCAACCATTCGACACAATCATCGAAGCAACTGACTATCGGAGATGATTACTAATATGTGTTCGCGAACGCCGACAGCCTGCACGTAGCCCAGTCGAAGTAAACACATCAAGTATTTTGTAATTTGAAGCTCCCGTCAAAACATGTTGTTATCATCTGAGCGGGACAGGGCTCAAAATAAAATTTCAACCTTTGAGTTCTGATGATGGCTGTTTATTTCGTCACAAACTCATTGTAGATGTAGAGACATATGAGTATTGCACCACTATTGCCAAAAACGTCACTTTTTCTCCCGGCCAGGGGCTCTTTTAACATAAACAAATAAGTAAATAAACGAGAGCAAGCCTAAACGTGATCGGCGATACCAGAATAATTGATATTGAAGGGTAAAATCACTATAGTAAAATTTTTGCTTGTAACACTCGTATCGTCATTATTGACACCGTCATTTTTACATCAACTCGAAGCCAGGATTACCATTTTGGTTTTTTCAACGCCAAATTTAACAATTTTGGCATTTTTGAAACACGTTTGGTGTCATAATTTCCTTTTGGCGTTTTGGCTTTTTTAATATTTATTCTTGTGTATATTATTAAAATCATATAAAATACACTATCGTCATGATAGCAACTGAAAATACAACTTTCAATGGGAAAAACATTTGTGTGACTCATTAAATCAACTGATGGCTGACAAATGGCTTTTGTACTTAGTAAAATAGTTGGATTTTTTTGTGTGTTGATCTGGGTTTTTATGATCACTGGGATTTGGCAACCCTGCCTCAGGCTCACAAAAAACTCAATGACTTCAAACATGGTGTTATTGACCAATTATTGGCGAGTGCCACGAATCGCACGGATTTACTCGCTAGCTATAAAATTCGCCACGGGATCTTTATGTAATCTCAAACGCATATCAACTGCGTTAAATAAATGGCAGCCTGGTGGGCTCAAACATTTGGTAGAGGATAACACCTTTTTGCCACCGTACTATTCACAGTCTGATGATGTCATCCTCAGTATAAGCATCGTGCTATCTGTAACCGTAAAAACTAGTTTACTGATTAATTGAGTCAATTTACGCGCGATAATTATGTCAGTTACCTTGCAAGCAATAATATAATTCAAATCCTTGTGAGAAGGACATCAAATTTCGGGCATCGTTTATAGACAAACAGCTAGCCTATTACTGTATTGGGCCATTGTAGTTGACAATATGGTAGGCCAGTGTTGTAAGATCGAATTAGGAATACTTTTTTCGTGCGTGGTAATAAATTAGCTTGGAAAATGTTCTTGAAGTCTTTTATAAATTTAATGGGACGTTTAAAATGCGGGAATTCTTATTGTAATAAATTGAAATAGGTAAAAACATGTTCCCAGTCCGGGAATCGAACCCGGGCCGCCTGGGTGAAAGCCAGGAATCCTGACCCCTAGACCAACTGGGAAGACATCGACGGTTGTCGAGTCGCATAAGATAACGGAGAGAATTCTCTCTCTCTCTCTCTCGTATGAAGCAATGTCGATTTAGAACTGTGATACCTGGAGTCCTTAGGTTGCTTAAGCTGCGTCTGCACTTTACTGCTACGCAACAAACGTTTGCTAATTATATGTAGGACACATACGATAATAATCTGCCATGCAGTGCCTACACTTATTTTGACGCATTGATGTGATTTCGACGATTTCTGATCTAAACCATTCAGTTTGTGTTGATTCTCTAGCTGGGACAGGCATGAATTGATTCCGTATGTTATAGTCCGAATGAGAGTTAGCCTATTAGTCAAAAGAGTAATCAAATATCTGAAAGCGTTGCTGAAATCAATTTTTTTTTCAAATGAACCGAACCAAGGTGAGACACTGTTAGTGATCTCCTATCGTGTTTCCCCGAAAATAGGACCTAGACTTAATTTTGAAAATGATATTAATATAAGCCCTTCCCTTAAAATAAGACCTAGGTCCTAGTCAATAACGCAAAACTTTTTTTGACCTAGTCGATAGCAAGAAATGGTTAAATTTATGTTTCGCAGTTGTTTTGAATGAAACGCGTTACTTAAAACTATAAGTAATTGGATATCTTTTTTTCATATTTTGTATATTTGAACGTCTCGTAATTTGTTTTTGAAAATAAAAAACATCCCCCGAAAATAAGCCCTAGTGTTATTTTTTGGAAGGAAATTGAAACGAGAATATCGGTTGGAAACCGAAGACTTATCGATCGATAGTTAGGGGATCCCCCAAAACAGAAACTGCAGTTTCGATTCATTCGCTCTTGTAACTTGCGCGCTGCGCATCGCACACACACACTCGGCGGGTCTCAAAATTCTCTCGCTTGACAAAAATCTAGATCACTATATCAATAATTGATTGATAACTCGCTAATTATACGATATAATTCGCCCAAAATAGGCTTCTGGTCCGAGATAAGATGAATGCACATGCAAAATCTGGAGCAGATTCAATCTCGCTTTCGTGAGATATCGCGTGCATCTAACAGACAAACATACAGACAGACAAATACCTATCAACGTACTTACCGATTAAAATCGATAAGTAATAATATTAGGACCCTGTCTTATTTTCGGAGGAACACGGTACTACACAAACCTTCAGATTTCACCGTTGCCCGTAATGAAAAGAAGTGAAATGACAAGTCATATCAAACAATTTCAGATATTACCACAATACTTGAAAACAACAAAGACAGAACAGCATTGAATAAGGCGTAAGCGTATAAGCATGTGAAATATATAGCCTACGCCAGGGGTCGGCAACCTTTTGGCCAAAATTGAAGGCTGCAATTACTGGCGGGCCGGACATATTTTGGCGATGACGCACAACCTGAACTCAAAGCTGATTTGTTATTAATTTACAATAATTTACAATTTTTTATAAATTAACTGTCGTACTTGCTAAGTGTCCACTAAGTGAAAATCTACAAAAAAAAGGCGGTGTTTAATAATGGACTACATTTTTAACCGAATCCAAAAATATTCCGTAACTTAGTCAACCCTTCCTCGGAGGAGTTTTTGTTAAAACATCTTAATTAACTGTTAATCTTGATAGCAAACATGGGGGGCAGGGGGGAGCTGACTGTGATGGTCGTATCGCTCCCCAGTCTATACCGAATAACTGTGTGTTTTGTATTTAGTATTTTTTTGATTCAATGCTTGTATTCTGGTTGACAAAATAAATCTCCCTCTCGTATTCAGTCACGTTTTAACCTAGTTACGAGACCGGTATTGTACCATTATAGGCTGGAGATATTCATCTTTTTTGTATACCGGTACCGTACAACTTGTCTTGCCTATTGGCAAGATGGCCAACATTTTTGTTCGTAGGCCTATTTCAGTATTTACTAAATAATTTAGTTTTCACCTCTTGCAGCTTTGGTACGGTACCGGTAGTTTAAATAACACGTCAGCATGCCTTCAGTAAATGATTGCTAGCTGTACAGGTATAAATGCGTAAAACCAGTAAACAAACGTGATAGAAATGGTACGGGTTATAGATTGTCAATGTTAAACGCTTCCAGTACCAGACGGACACGGACCCAAAGCGACATTAGGGCCGCATTTGCAGCGCATATCCCACAGAGCACGGAGCGTTGGCAGAATCTCATGGTCTAGTGAGAATGACGTCATCGGAAACACCGCGCTTATTAAAATTTTATTGAACGAATATCAAAAATCTTGACCATGTTTATCATGATAAAAATATCAAAGAAGATGTAAAAAATATTCTATCCTGAAAACTGCTCACGTATACAATGAAAGATATCTAAAAAATGACAAAAAATGCAAATTTCTGCTCTGGTGATCACATTTCCCATAAGAGCTAATGTTAAAAAAAATTTTTTTACATCACTTTTATTTTTTGCGCGTAGGATGGGTTTTTAATGAATAAGGTCTATTCCGAGGTCACTTATGTGTTTTTGAAGTAGAGCTGAGACGCCTCGATTCTTACCTGTCATTGCCGGGGCTCCATCGGTGGTTATTGATACCATCTTTGATAGATCAAGGTCCATGTCTCCAATGCATAGCAGCAATGCGCTCAGAATGTCAGCACCTGTTGTAGTTTCCTTCATGGGAACTAGTTGGACAAACTCCTCAACAACGTCAAAAGCTTCACTTACTCCACGCACGAAAACTGAAAGCTGAGCGGTGTCTGCCGCATCTGTACTCTCGTCAATTGCAATTGAGAAGAATTGTAAGTTATTGATGATATCCCTTTGACGACGCTTCACATCCCTTGACATTTCTTCTATTCGCCGAGTCACGGTTCTAGCAGAAAGGCTGATATTTGAGAATAACTTTTCCTTATCAGGACATACAATACCAACGTCGGTCATCAAGCATTCTTTCACAAATTCACCATCTACAAAGGGCTTCATGTGTTCTGCAATTAATTTAGCCACCTCGTAACTAGCAACAATATTTTATTCGGTTTCGTTGTGTTGTTTGAGGAAGAAAGAACTTTGCTTTTCTAAACTGTCTTTTAACTGTTTAATCTTGTCCTTCCTCCTTTGGCTATCTAGTTCTGAAAATTTGGGATGCTTTGTCACATAGTGGCGTCTAATGTTACATTCCTTATTGACAGCTATAGATGCGTAGCAAATCAAGCAGGTAGGTTTGCCCAAGTGTTCTACAAAGAAATACTTTGTCGTCCAAGTGCTATTGAACCCTCTTCCCTCAGCATCAACTTTCCTGCGCTTTGTTGCCATTCGCCTAATTATAATTATATTGCTGGCTCAATAAACCTGTTCACTAAATTACTAGGTTATATTAAAATTTAGTCCACTTCACAATAAATTCTGTTACATAAACAAAACAGCTATGCTCAAATACCCTCTTCTAAGCGAGATATTTTATCACCAATTCCCCGAGAATCATATGAGGCAACTTACCGGTATCGGGATATTGTCACAGCTTTTCCAGGTCCTGTGACAATGATCTATTCTTATAATTCAGTTTTAATGTGAATTGAAATACCAAGTGATCTGAGTCACCTCTATATTTCCAGATCAAGCACCACAGCCTACCATTACCCATAAAATCATTTCCATAAATCATCTGCGTTAACTTACCAGTCCGGTTACGGTACAAGGACTGTCATGCTTTTCCAGGCACCGTGGCGATTACACATTCATTTTATTAAATTTAAACATGAATTTGAAATACGAACTGATCCGAGTCATTTCTGTATCACCAGTTCAGGCCCCACAGTCTAACGTTCCCCATAAAAACTTTCGCCCACTTTCGCTAATCACGAGATACACCGACGTTCGCTGAGCACGAAATCGGCAGATACGCGTTCGCGGAAACGCCACAAGGCGGCAAATTTTGGAGACGAGTCGTAGCACACAAAAAACGAATCCCATAGAGCTCACAGAAATAATTGAAATGAATAAAATACCGTTTAATTAATGAAGACCACATAATAACAAAACGATCCATAGCTCCGTGTCTAATAATCTGCTCCTCGAGGGTAGATTATTAAATTAAATGGTGAAAATTCACCTTTTTGCAAAATTCACAAATTCGTCGTTTTGTCTCTAAATTTTGGTGAAGCGTCGCGGGCCGAATCCGGCCCACGGGCCGTAGGTTGCCGACCCCTGGCCTACGCATTACTTAAATACCGAAACTATGGTCTTTAAGACTAGCAAGCTACATTAATAAAGGACATGCTTCTCATAAATCTGAAATGCCAGTTACGCTAGTTATCAGCTGCGGACTTGGGGCGTTTAACAGCGAACACAAAAACTGATTAATGGAAGACATTCCAACTAGATAGCGATCGAAGTCCGCCGACTTATCGATCTTCCATATGATCTCTTCGCTCTGACTCAAGAGCGACATCGCGTGTCCCATCACTAATTAATTACTAACTCGCTAAATATATGGTCCGCTATATGATGAATGCACAGTCAAAGTTTGAAGTAGATTCAACCTCGCTTTCGTGAGATATCGCGTAACACACAAAAGTGTCTAACAGACAAACAAACAGACAAATACCTATCAACATACTTACCGATCGAGATCGATAAGTAATAACGGATTCCCGCGAGCCCTCTTAAACCCCACCACTTGTCAGGCCGCCTATTGTAAATCGGGAATTGAATAGTATACCTGACGTTAACTTTATATGCATAGTAACGCTCACATAAGCGCCTGCAAGTTGCAATTACTTTCTTGGCCCTGTGAGATACGGTCAAAGTATGCTGTATTTCCAGGCTTGTCCACGGGAATGGGATTCCCACGGGAAACGGCCCATAGGATGGGACAGCACACATTTGTATTTCCCAAGGGACACAAAAACCGTATGATTTTCAGGGAAAGGATGGTAAAACATTTCGTTATAAACTCTGTGTTCATATATTTGAGCATAGCTCTCTTGTATTTATGTCCCATGGACAAGTCTGTGTATTTCACATTGATTAGTAGTGTATTGTGAAATGTGGATAGAATAAGAGGTCAGACGAATTAGCCCATATAGGCCTACCTGATATTATTTTTGGAAAATTATATTGGTTGTAGGGTACGGGTTATCAGGTTGGTTGTAACGGTATTTGAAGTTTATGTATTTTCCGGAATGACCTCAGTTCTGTATACGTATCTTTGGCGAATATAGCTGACTGGACCTGGTGCATACCATATTGTTGTGCGACCCACTTATTTTGCACCCACTCTAACAAGGCTGGCGATTTCACTAATTCTTAAGTTTGTTTAGTTTAAACTCCACGTACATGAAAATACTTGCTAATTCTAGTTTATTTACATTTTCACACATATTGATATACAAAACTATTTACAAACAGACAGAAGTAAATTTCATGAAACATTCAATCATTCTTTTTGCTGCGAAGTTTTTTCAGTAGATCGATGATTTTCTGCCAGTAACTACAGTAGAACTCAATGATTTTCTGAAAAGACAAACGGGTAAGAAGAATCAATAAATATGAAATTGCAAAGAGAGAGCTAAATGTTAAGCAAGAGTACATTCTTGTTTGTGGACAATTGACACTATGTATTAATGCTCTCTCGCTGATATGTGTGAAATTTGCAGGTTGTAATTCCGTGGCTAATGATTATGTGCAATCACAATCAGAGAGTCGGGCCAGTTATCGCCTGAGGATGTGTTGTGACTTAAAATACCATCAAAATACGTACTTTTGAAACGAGGGTAAATTACGTGTATACATTCACATGCCCGACATTTTTGATGACTAAATAGGAGGATGTGGAACTTTAATTAAAACAGTGTTAAATGCAAAATCCTATGGAACCAAATTTTCATACCACACAGTCAGGGATTCGCATATAAGGCAGAATATGGGCTATGGCTGTTGCGCAACACGTATTTGCCATTGGAACTTTGCTCTTAAGTCGTGTTAAATGCGAAATCCCTGAGAACTTTTACAACCCATAACCCAAGATCAAAGCAAAATATGGTCTATGGTTGTTGTGTGACCCGAATCTCACTTCATAGCCTTTCGTTTCAGACCCCAAATTCTGTGCATTGAAGACAAAAAGTTATTAAGTCATTCTAGTTGACAATATGGTAGAAGATCATGACACGACTTGCCATTTAAAACTGCTACTTAAAATATATTAGTTTGGGCACTTCAGAAGTATGTGCACTAAGATGGCGCACAACATGATAACCTGGAGCACCTTAGTTTGTAATTTGAGTTTATAAGTAAAAATATAAGATTCTTTATCAAGCACATACAATAAATAGTGGATTCTGGCATTTTCCATATGGCGACGGTTCAGGTCCAGGCACTGGCTCTAGGTTGAAATCCAGGTCACAGGTAGGTTCATCCATGGTACATACGAGTGATTTATTCGGGTCGCAAACTCCGAATATGTCAAAACTACCTCCACATTTTTCACCTCTCTGTTTTGAACATACATCACAGCACCTACGAGTATGATAAATTTGTTATAATTTTAACAGTGATGAAATGAAAATTTGGGTATGGTCTATCGATTACTATATTTTTAAGGAGTAATCATAACGTTACATATGGCTAAAGTGTCAGTTCCGATATTTTTGTTTTCTTGGTTAGATTACCATCAAATTGGATTGAATATGGGAGGCCATTGGCCTCGTCGCTGCTTAGGTCTGATGGTAGGCCAAATTACCATTTGCAATAATTCAAAACCCCACCTAAGACATTTGTAGCAGCATGCATAAAAGTAACCGAATTTTAATAAAAACCTACAATTTGTAAGCGATTCAGTATGTACATATATATATATATATATATAACTATATGTCGCATATAATTTTTCTGCATAAAATTGACAATTTCCTAATAGTAATGCAATATCTAAAAATATATGCAGCATCACCAATACCCTGTTATAGGACTAAATACAGATATCTGTTTACCGTTCTCAAGTATTTAAATGTAACTATAATTAAAGTAAAACTGGTTATCATGAACGACAAGTACATACCCGCACTCATCCTTCACCACTGTGACACCTTTTGGGCAAGGAACGTCGGGACATTCGTTGTCACCACAAGGAATACAAGACAGTGAATTTGCTGTTGCAGCAAGGAGGCACAGAAAATACGCAGTAGATAGTGTTACCGGTGCCATGATGTGTTTTTTAAATGAAGCTGAATTGAAACTCAAATAAAATTACTGCTTTTGAAAAATATACAATAATTGAAAACAAAATTGTGCTAACAGAATGACTTTGGAAGAAGTGCTTAATAGCACGAACATGATAGAAACTGGTATTGAATTTGGGTTGTCTACGGGTAAAAATATTTCTGATTCATTACCTATAATAATTGATTCATTTGTAAATATTATATCATATGTTAGTTAAACTTTTTTTTAATTTGAATCTAAAATTGTCAAACGAGAATAAGGTGTAAGATTTGTCACTGAATGGTGACAAATGGTTATCGACCTCTTGGGCTTTAGCTTTCGATTTTGCCCTCCGTAAATTGAGATATTACTTCCAGTCCAGTTGTGATAAACGCCTGTTGTGAATTTCTTTTGAAGTCTAGAAAATTTGTACGTCATGAATAAAATTTGATTCCTAGCTGTTTTCTCAAACAAATTGTAAATACACCGACGCAGTTGTAAACGTGCTTCAAAAATTTACTAAAAAATTATACATCCTGGACAATTATTCTGTCCAAAACCGCGGGTATACTTTCCACATACTTCCTTTACCTTATACTGATTAAATGTTAAGATATATTTTAGTGCCGTTTCATTTACGATAATTATCTCTTAAATTATACAATCCGTGACTAACGTAGGGTGGTAGCAAGAGGTACAGGAACGTATCTCATGTTGCCACGGGCAATGGAAACGTATCGCATTCTATTTTTGACTTAATTTAATCTGTCTTTTTGCCGAGTTCCAACTATTTGTCGCGCATGAATGATGGAGGGTCTTCGCGTCTTTTTACCAGGTTCATTTCCATACCGGATACTAACATAATCTTCACAAATCTCATACTTGTGAACAGCGGCGTATCTACGTAACATTACGCCCATTGCTAAGTTTATAAACGCGCCTGCCTTGAAATTTATATGGGACTTGTTAAAAGGAGGTTCTTGTGCCTTATTTTTGAGTAAAAATACGAGTTTCAGTTATTTTCAATTTGAAATTATTTTATTTAAACATTTTACGATTAAACTTTTCACCTTTTTTTCTTCCCTGTTCAAACGGCGCAATGGCTGCCACACCCCAGATACGCCACTGCTTGTAAAAAGGACCTTCCGAAGTATGTGCGCCATCTTGTTATACAAACTTCGGGAGCACCTGTAAAGATATCATAACTGTGATATCTCTATCATCCCTAAGGATTGGATTTCGTGACAGCGTTTTATCTATCAAAACCCACGGGGTCGAGACCTTGAATTGCAAAGCAACGTTGTGTGACTGACCTAATCTGAATTACACCGAGGTTCATTTAGGAAACAGAATGTGCTTCAAGACATATTTCGAGGCTTGGGGCAAATATTTTTTCAGCATTATTTTGACGGGGTCATATATTCAGATTAAAATCTCGTTTTTTCTGAATAGATCTAGTTTAGGAAATAAATTTGGATTCATCTCCATTTCATTTCAGTAAACCATCGCGACTATACCTTACGACAATTTTAGTAATGCTTGATTAGCATTAGCATGACCCGCTTCACAAATATCTAATACATAACTTTTAAAACGCCAACTATTACGCTAGTCGCGCGAACCCGTTCTTGGATTGTCGTGACACAAACGAACCCGTTCTTGTTTCAGAGCTATGAGTTCGGCATGGTTTTTGAAATAAGAGAACCTGTTGTTAGTATGTTCGAGACAAAAGAGAACCCGTTCCTGAAATTCTGAATTTCACCACTGATGCTATCAGTGCATAACAATGTTAGCGGAAAACAACGAAACAAACAAAACCACGCATTCACCTTCGGTAAGTAGGCAACTGGTACGATACCGCCAAAGTGGGACTTTTGGATGACCAGTCGGGACGCGTACAAGACGTTGAAAAGTGGGACTGTTCCGCCTAAAACGGGACGTATGGTAAGCCTACAACTGACTATATTGTATCGTTTTCGGTTTTTGGTGATTTGTGTGGTTCGCTCTGAACATGGCCTGTAGAATTATCGGTTCGAGGGAGAAAGAATAGTGAGTGAGCTCGCAAATACCGAAAAGCAAGAGGTTCAAAATTTGTACAATCTGTTATATATGAGTTCAATCTCAATTCTACCACCGACCGTACCAGACCTGCATTGCCCCCCGTTATTCTTACCGTCGCATGTTACTTCAACTTTACCTTCGTACAGTCGCAGAGTCTCAGAAATCAATCAAAGCTTAACGTTTAATTTCGAAAATGTCGACTTCGCATGGGGATTTTATTGGATATCCGCTCTAGGAGACTTTCATTTTCAGTCTTTCTGTTTGTTGGGTCTCCTCTCTAGGAGACAGCTAGAGACTCTAGGCCAGTGGTTCTCAAACGGTTGGGCGCGCCCCACAATGGGGTCATATACGATTTTTTGAGGGAGCGGGAAGCTAATTCAAAATAAAAATATTTGTTAGATTCGATCTTGCCCCTTATTTTGAATATTTATATTTCCTTCAGTTTGAACTTGTTTTTGAATAAAACATACTTCCGCCTTACTATCTTTTGTTTGCAGCTTACTTAAACTCTAAAAAGGGGGCGCAGCTTAGAAAGTTTGATAACCACTGCTCTAGTTAGTTTTGCAACCCGCTTGCTCAATCACGCCGTCCGCAAGTTTCCCTGGATGGACACCAGTTGCTTGAGTGCGGGCCTCAACTATCAGCGGAGCTCCTGTACGCCCACCGGATGGTTTAATTTTGATTTCGAGTGCGGAACAGCAAAATATCGATTACAAAATCCAAGTTGTTATTTCACCTCATTCTGTTTCAAATGTATGTTTCAACTGCCAATTATGGTGTGCAAAATTCGAACATTTCGCGCATACTTCTAGACAAGAGAAACATCAAACTCGACTGGATGGCTTACCCAGTCTTTTGCGACCCCTAATCAATTGCTAGATTCAAGGCCTTCTGTTTTTTCATTATTTTTATGTGTCTTTATTGCTTTGCATTGATTCTTGCACGAATGAAATAAATATCCTAATCTGCGATACCATCAATTTACGGCCACGGTGGTAAAGATAGTAATCACGAATTATACATTCCCAGCCCGACAAAACCATCAAAAATGTACGCTTCTACAACTGTACTTTATTTTTACTGTAATTTAGAATTCTATGGCCGAAATATATGATCCACAAACAATACAAAATATTTAGAAGTAGATGTTGTAATCAATCTCGAAGTCCTTTCAGCAGTGCGAGAAGTTTCCTCCAGTAATTGCAGTAAAACTCGATGATTTTCTGAAACAAATACATTTTTTAAATAAACAAAGTCATGACTCGAACAAAAATGTGTCCATGTAACGATCATAAGCGATATTACGAGGATGGAATACAGTTTCACTAATTTGGGCTTTTTCTAAAAGCAGAGTAGCTAAGTTATATGAAAAAAAAATATTTTGAAGCACTCAAATTACTTTCGAATGCCATTCTGAACATTTGTAACGCATGCATGCAACATCGTTGTTTCAGAAAATAATATAACGAACAGAACTGTACTGAAAGCTTCAATTAATACTAGCAGTGAATGTTTAAAAGCCATGTTTAGGTCAACTATCTCGCGTTACACCCATTACGGCGTTGCCTATAAGGAGATTAGAGGTTTTATATCCAATGTCAAGTTTAAACTTGGGGGTACTGAACTTAATATCTATCCAATGAAAATGCTTTCAGCGCATCACATGACAAAGATGGCATTGTTGTTGGGATGATATTATCATGAAACGCCACTTACCACAATAAGCGAGTTCTGGCATGTACCGTCGGCGTTTACGTCATCGATAGGTGGGTTTTCATCGTCGTCGTCGTAACTGAGATCGCAGATTGGATGTTTCTTTTGGCAAACAAGACTTTTCTTTGGGTCGCACTTGCCTTGTGTTTCGAAGGGACCCCCGCATTTATCGCCACTTTGTTTCGAGCATACATAACAGCATCTAAACGATACGGCAGTGTTGGATATAAAATTGTACATCACGTCGTAGCTAAGTATGCGTATAAATAGGGCAGGTGGCCTATCTGGTAGTGCTATATAGTATATACATCGAGTCAAAACTTTGTAACGGAAAATTGATTTTGGATGTTAACAGGAGCATGTAAATGAAAAAAACGTAGCAGAGAAGACGTGTGGTGGCTCTTTGTTACTTATCGATCTTTATCGATAAGTATGTTGATAGGTATTTGTCTGTCTGTCTGTTTGTTTGTTTGTCTGTTAGATGCACGCGATATCTCACGAAAGCGAAGTTGAATCTGCTCCAGATTTTGCATGTGCTTTTTCATATCTCGGACCAGAAGCCTATTGATTTTGGATGAATTATGACTTATAATTAGCGAGTTATTAATTAATTAGTGATGGGACACGCGGTGTCACTATAGAGTCATGAATCGAAACCGCAGTTTCGATCGATAAGTCTTCGGTCTCCGACCGATATTCTCGTTTTCGTATTGTTTGCTAGGAAGCCTAATTTATAGGAAATCGATTTTTACTTGGGCCCGAGTATCCAAATGCCAGCTTTTCCTAGAAGTCTGTTGTAGAAGTGAACAAACGAAAGACTGGCTATAAATTTGAATTTTTTACATTTACCAGGCAGTGTAAACCCATCCGAATTATATGGCGATATGCTATAAGTAAAGTTCTAAACTTTATCTCAAATAAATTGCTAAAGGGCAGAGTCCTCATATGAAGAACAGTAACATACCACGTACCAACCGCTGAAATCCCCAACCGCAAATACCTCGCAATTTTTATTATCTTTCTGATAAACTATTATGGTAAAGTAAAACCACATCCCGGGTAGCATGAGATACATTTTCAACCTTCAATCGCCTGTGGCAACGTTAAGTAAACTATACTTTCACAGTATGATTTTCACGGAGAAGTTGCCTTTAAGTTGCTTTTACCGAAGAGAATTTATAACCTCGAATACGAAAGTACTTAAAAGGCTTATGTCGATATATGTCGAAAATTTAAAACATATAATACTCGATATATAAAAATTTTCCGTTTAGATTTGTTTGTTGATCTGAACCTTTAATGCATTGAAAAATCAAGTTACTTTAAACAACTAAGTTTTAAGGCTCAAAGCCATGTTCATTTTACTCATATGTCTGTATGAATTCATGTCGACATTGTTCGCCTCTATTTATCAATTAAACAAAAATATATTTAATCGCGGCGAACGAACCTTGAGCATTGACGATGAACGCATCGAGCATTCGTGGCCGAAAAGTCCGTCTGAAAACGTCCGTGCGCCGATACCGTCTAAAAGCCCACCAACCTGGTTAATAATGAGCTGGTTGATTACAACTGGATGTTAGAAGAACATACTAAACTTTCCATAGAGCGTCTTTATCAAAATCATAACTACGTGTTATTTTAAACTACTACGTTTTAATTACAGTATTAATTGAAATATTATATTATGAGCCTCATCATTTAACTTGAGCTAATCCCTCCGGGCAGCGCAGTTTAATATAAACGAATAGAGTCTTACGTTATTAAAATATCTTTGATCGCTTTATCGTAATCTTGTTGACAATGTTGTTTTATGGTGGGGTCATCAATAAGTAGGTCTCCAGTTTTAAGAGTATTTCAACGATTTTCTCTCTATTAAGCCCAGCCTACAAATTACCTTTAGTAAAAATACAGGAGAGCTATGCTCAAATATATGGACACGTTTGAAGTAAATGAAAGTAATAGTCTTCTAAAACAATTTTCATCTTCAAGCACTAAAAATTTCAGAGCAATTGGTCCAGTAATTAAAGAGAAAAGCGATTTTTAAGGATTAGTTAACTTCACGCCGACGTTCGATGGCACGTGATCATGCGTCCGCAGAACGTTCGGTGACGTCATAGCAAACAAAACAAATCTCACAGAGCTAACAGAAATATTTGAAATAAATAAAAGTAATAGCCTCCTGGAGGAAATTTTTATCTGTAACCACTGAAAATTTCAGAGCAATTCGTCCAGTAATCAAAGAGAAAAGCGTCTTTCCACTAGGTGTCCAAAAAGTGTCAAAGAACAACAACAACATAATATTGAAACGATCGCTATGTCCACTACGTGTCCAATAAAAATAAGACTTCATAACGGAAGCATTTACTTCGGGTTCGACGTTGAAAAATAAATGCCCATTAAAACGTAAGTCCTCCGCCTAAACTACTAGTCCCAGTTATTTACTTATTGAGTGTATATCGCAAATTTTTTCAATCGTGTCATTACCACTATTTTTGTCAGGACGTTCTATATAACCAAAGGTTGCGATATTAGAGCATTAATCGATTATTAATAGTTTCAAAATTTATTTCGTTTTTTAAACACCTAACGTAAACAACATACGGATCTTTTGTACAAAGCCCCCACAAAAAAAAAACGCCTGTCTATGTATCTGAAACAGATGCCTAGCGGCCCTAGCCAACTAATTCCGTACCCGACATGGACTGGTAATCGGGCGAGAGGCAGTGCTTTACCATATGATTAAGCCGTTTTATTGACTTTTCTCTCCCTGTGATAAATATGGAAATCCTATTCTATGTAAAAAAAAAACTTGATTATTTCATGATTTTTATTTCGTTGCCTAAATCTAAACAACAACAAAAATGCAATACCTTAATTATCGAAGCAAGGTGATGCATGCGCATTTTAAGTTAAATTTGAGATCTGTAAATGCGGTTTTTAATGAGAGATTTTTCAACGACAAAAATTATGTTGATATTAAGTATATATTCAAAAATCGATGTTTGGCTTTAAATTTCTCTATCTGCATTGAGTTTTTGTGAGATTAGGTAATAAAATATTAAAACAATACGGGGCGCTTCAGTAGTATGTGTACTGATATGGAGGCAACTCATTTTTTTCGCCTACTCTACATTAAGTTGTGTAAAGGCACTAGAGCTTATGGTCAGAGGGTACAATCACTTGGCTAACACAAACAGTCCCCCGAACTCGTAATAGAACTGAAATAGGGAAAATCGGAATAAAATTATGGCCTAACCCTAACCTGGTACACATACTACGGGAGTAACCCAATACTGAACGGTACTTACGCACAAGCGTCTTTAACTAGCGTAACACCTTTACCGCAATCCAGCTCTTCTTCCGTTTGGCATTCGACCTGGGCGCAAGGCAGGCAACTCAACGCGTTGGTCGTAGAAAAGAAGACGCCGATAATAAGTACTATGAAGCACAACTTCATCTCGTTCGCTCGGTTCACTTGAGGGTTCAGTATAGTAATAAGATCCCTAGAAGAAAATATATAGTACGATTATGGATAAGAATCTGTGTACTTTACATCTACGGGGAACAGAGAGTACGAAACTAAAATGGAGCCTAGAAAAAATTTGGAAACTCATTTATATACAGGGTGTTCATATACACTTCTTACAATTTCAGTTCCAGCACACCAGAAGTGTGCTCCGGAAGTATTCGTACCAAAATGAAACACAACCCGAACAACCCTAACCTGGTACACATACTATGTTCAGGTTGTGCGCCATCTTGGTACGAATACTTCGGGAGCACCAATTTTAAATTCATTTATTACGCACGTATGGTTGATTCAGAAACTATAAATTTTATTTAAAATTTAAATAATTTTAAGACTTTTATAAACACCTCGTATTTTATAATGCTATGTACCCTCCTTTACAAAATACAAATTTTTCAAAATATCGCTGCTTTTGAATTTTAAACTCAAGTCACACCTAATTACGACTACATATGAAATGCTAAACAACCTAATTCATAATACAATAACGTTCGAGTCTATCTGTTTTAACGGTGTCCCGCCAGTCTGCATTGAGCTTGTTATATAAAGCTAGTATCAACTGAAGTGTTCAGTACAGTTCTATTCTTTATATTGCTTTCTGAAGCTACGCTCTTGTATATAAATACATGCGTTGCAAATCTTTAGAACGACATTTAATATTTAAATTGAGTGCTTACAGATATATTTTTTAATTCTTTATATATATATGATTCTTTTTATATTTTTCGATATTAACATATTATATAACATATTTTAATGTCAAGTGAATTAATTTTCAAATTATCAATCTCCCGATATGTTGATGAAGTAATTACTTCATCCATCTCCATTTTAGAAACTACAAAGTTCACGGAATGTTCAAATCTCCTCTACGGCGACGTGGCTTGACTAAAACTGAGATGTTAATGATGATCTGAATCTCTATTACAATATTTCAAAAATCGCCTACGGCCGTTCAATATTTTTTAACAAGTACCAGTCACCATCACCCTCAGTCAATCTTTCAATACAAGAACATAGTCTTCAGCCTTAATGTTGTTTGGAATATCATCCTTTAAACCTCATTATCCGATCTTTTACAGTTCATATGATCTTTGATATTACAAAACTAGTTGAAATTACCATGAAATCTTGTTTAATAACTAAGCGACAACTAAATAAAAAACTAAAAATTTTGTTCTAGGATTTTATTTCTTGTAAAATGCCATTTTTCATAAAAATCAAAGGCCTATGAATTGGAATTGCTATGCTTAATTAAATTAATAAATTAGTCGTGTATATACAAAAATGAAAGCATGACAAGGGTCGAATGGACACGAAGTTCAAAACAAAAGTAGTAATAAATCATTTACAGTCCCGACTTCTCTGATTCCGTCTTCGCTGAACACCAGATCGCTAAAATACCATCGCGGAACTGCCACACGGTGCGCAATTTTTAATTCCATTGGGAAAATAGAATACCGCAGAGCCGACAGATATTTGTGAAATGAATAAAATCATTAGCCTTGTAAGCACAATACAATCTTTAATACCTGAAAATTGTAATTGGTCTACTTGTTAAAGAGAAAAGCGATTTCTTTTTCACATCAACATGAAGAAGAAAATCGAGAATAACAACAACATATTTACCGAATGAACCAAAGATCCATTTTGTGTCCAACAATGCTACACTAAGAAAAACATGACAAATTATATTTAAAAGGTTATCAGGCATGAATGAGTTGAACTATCGCGTCATAGTAGGATGACATTGCTTCCTGAAGAAATGAAATCATCACCAAATCGTTAACGCAATTGTGACGCTTTAAATAACAAACGGATATGATTATTAGGACACAAAGGCAGATTCGACAGGCATGTACATACAAAATAGCTAAGGATAGAAATCGGGAAACCAATATTAGCAGAATATACGTAGTTTACAGCTACTCTTCAAATATTCGCAGTTGAAAGCCAATGGGGTCCTAAAGGGCCGACGAAATGTATTTACCATAGTTTTAGTTGAATATACAATTACGGGCATGTACTGATGACCCTTCTCGGTTATGTTGACGTATCACACGTTTAGATGAAAAGTTTTGAAGCCTAATACCTAAATCGTCGATCTGCCACCGTGATAATCGCTATCCAGGGTAACTGAAACATTCAATTTAAATTGCAAAGTGAGGTCGGACCAATTTAGATGAACTTATTCACTGCCCATTAACGGTTAGAATGGAAACTACGAAATACCAGAAACAAGTAATATCTCGCAATAATTTTCTTGTCTCATTGCCCCGCCGTTACGACAAGGTCATAATGCCATTTTGAAAAGTTTCGAAGCTTCAAGGTATTCAAAAATAAACATCCCAATCATTCATGTATATATATATGTGTATAGGCTTCATAAAATTCCATGTTCTTTTATTTTTTTCATAGTATACATTTTTAAAATTATTCTTCAGCTCACTATAAATTAGTTTGTATTTCACTATCTGCAGTCGTGTGTAAGACCTTTGGCAACTCCCTGGCCAAAAGGAAAATAGATAAACTATTCTACTACAGCAGTAGAACTTTTCAGTGATTTTCAATGCGCATTTTCTTTGTGTGTATGTGAATAAAGTAACATGACAAAAACCAAACAAAATAAAAATTGCGCATATTTCATATATAATGAAAAAATGATATGGATATATTACGTCATCACATACATGACGTCACATATAAAAGCACAAAAGGAGTATCATGTCAGTTACAGCTACCCCGTAAAAAACTGTGAAGATGGCAATTGGTACAAATGTGACGTCATTAGAAACAGGTAATACAAGAACAACTAGAACAGTTTGTTAATTTCGATATTTCGAAGTGAATTTTGGGAACAAATGTCACGAAACATTTTGGATTTTATTAATTAGGCTGACTTCGTATAAGCGTTGTTGATAAGCAACATTTAGATATGCGTTTCATATTAACCCTAGAAAAAGAAAGACTATATGAAAATGCATAATTCTAAAAATAATAAGTAAAAGCATCTCGTTTGCTAAGATTGTGTGGATCAAGGCGACAGTTAGTTGAGCGTCGCAGATATGTGGGGTGAGAGACACTGTAAGCACTATAAGTTACGCTAGAAATGAAGCGGCATCAAATATGCGTTGACTCAAGCTTTGTATGTCTATAAATATTTAGGTCTACTTCACAATCGCAAACTTGAAACAGTTTTTCACCATTGAATTATCGTATTTTCCTGTGCTACGAAAATCATAGTCACGTACCGCATTAACACAACGTATATTGAAGCCGAACAAAGCACAAATATTTGTTCTTTCAGTGAAACACGTACAGTGTGCGAGCCCATTTACAGAAAAAAGTTATTGTTAGTCTTTAATGAGTGGAATAAAAAAGGATTTGCATTAAACTCTCTCGCCGCTCGTTAGTCCATATGGGATTCTCAACGCTATTAAGTCTAGCACATGGTAACCTACTGTTAATATCGCTCTTAGCTGTTTATTGACGTAATGCCCTGATATGAGAGAAGCGATAAAACCTTCCAGCCGTGACGCAAAGTGCGAATCGTATAAATAGCGTGGATTTCAAAATCGCCTGTCAGACGTCTGAAAATGTCGACTCAGCTCAGACAGAAAATACTCCTTTATAACGACTTATTATTGCTTTAGCATGTATTTTCAGTCATACTAACTATCCCTGATCATTCCTGCGCTGTGTTGTTTTTGATAAATATGATTTCGACTGCTCCATAGTTGGCAGAGGTATGGAGATTTTTTGTATGTAAAAAAAACGTAAAATTAATGTAATTTTAACGCGTGAATGCGCGTATGAGATTGTTTACGTCGTTCTACGCGCATTTCCGTCGAAAAAATTTAATTTTTTTGCATTGGGGGTGGTCTGTGCAGTAATAATAAGAGCTGTGACGTCATCAGTATCGGTAATTGACCTTGAACTTGACAATACTGTAAATACAATTGTGAATTTCAGAGTAATAACCACTTATGCTATAATAGTCGTTTCGGTATTGTTATGTTAGGAAAAACTTGACGAAAACGTTGAAGAAAAAACTAATTAATTAGGAATTATTATTAACCCTCTACTGTACACAGAATATCTCAAAGTCCAATTTTTTTTTAGAAATTTTTGAAATTTTTTTGCAAAATTTTTTTTTCGAGGTGTGTTTTAAAGATATATTGCTGAATAGAACTCTAGCAGACGCTTTTAAAAAGCCATGATTGAAGCTTAAGGGCTTAATGGTTGACAAAAAAAACAAGTTTAAAAATACCCATAAAATGGTCAGGGATTGGAGCGGTCGGAAGGTTAAATAAATTCTATTGAATGGCAGTTTTGTTGTCGCGTTTTCATCGATCTACGTCTATGGTGCCGACGAAAAGCGATCAAGACATTGTTTTAGGTTGGAATATAAACATTATTAGAGATTTGCATACAACGTATAGACGGTCCAGAATATATAGGGTGTCCATAGAGTCTTACAATTTTTAAAAAAAGGCAAGGGAATTTCTCGATACCATATATTGTTTTGGTCCTCACAAATGTATTAAATGGAGTAAAAATACTAAAACTTACTAATTAAAAAACAACAAACCGGGTTAGGATTTATTGAGAACTGACTTCATAACAAAATTAAAATTGTAAAAGGGACTTTATGGAGATCCTGTATTATGACATGCCTATAGACTCAATGTGACAGTTTCCTGTATTAATTACTACTTTTTCAGATTATGCGTCAAGTTCGTTGACAACCAACAAAGCGCTCAATTTCTCTGCAAGACCGGAGTTTTCAAAGAAGAATTCAAAGTTTGTTCAAATTTCCAAAAAAATCAAGACTTTTGTTGTGGAGAGTATGAATTCGTCCGGGTTTTGAAAAGTTGTGGAAGTTCTTGTAATGAAAACACCGAGCAAGTAATACGTGTTTGCTTTACTATATATATCCTAGGTTTTTTTTTTTGCGACGAAGTTGCAACATTCTTCTATATGTTGGTTTAAAATTTTAAATAGTTTTTATTACATCAAATTTTTACAAACATTTCGAATTCATTCCTCAAAAATTTAAAACGCATTTACGTTATGTCGGTGATTCCGTGATTCTCAAAACAAATTATGCCAACCTATGCGACTTTAGTGGATGTCTTCACTGCTATTCCACTATATTCATCTTACAGTATAGTCGATTTTAAATGTAATTGCAGATGAGTCCGCAACTTTACAGGTTTCTTGTGGGCATTTTTCGATTATATTCGGGCTTAAGTTTGAAAATGTGTTCAGAATACAAATCAACAACAAGTCTTTTGGGGATTTTTGGGATCTATATTCAAGACATGGTATAAATCACATGCTCCTATGAATACGGGGGGCCGATTTTTGACGACTTTTGTTTCATCTTATCGGAGTAAACAAGGCACTACAGGGTATAATAGCGAACGCGATGTTGTTCTCAAATCGGGGATTATTCGCTTACTTGGTTGAACTCCTTCGTTGCTTTGGCGAGTGTTTGAAGCTTTTCAGGTTTTATGCCTTTATATGGCTGTTATTTGAGCCAGATTCGGGTATTTACATCCGGGTTCAAAGCTAAACTGTCATTTGGTTCCGTCCTAAAAAATTTAAAACGCAATTAGGTTTGAAAATGTGTACACATAATTAACGAATAGTAAACTATTTATTTTTAAGATATGACTAAAGTTGCATGCTTTTATATATACTAAATATCGCTCTTAAACTAATGCTTAATTCAACTCATCGAAAATTAAACTGACCTTATACTTCCGGGTTCAAAGGTAAACTGTCATTTGATTTAATTTTTTATCGTTTTGAAGGTTGAGTACAAGTGTAAATGTAGATCAGATTCTCCTTGCACGAAAATCTCTCATCGATATTGTCAATGCAAAGGTGTTGTAAATGATTGGACAAAATGGGGAGAATATGGACCATGTAGTGCGACATGCAACGGTGGAACAAAAGAAAGATCAAGATAGTAAGTGGAATTTAGGGGGTCGCGAACCCGTTCTTGGTATATCACGTTGGTCAGCGAATCCGTTCTTGTTTTGTTTGTGTCCACAGCTGCAGCTGCAGTTCAATGATATATTTGGCGTTATGTATTAGAGCCGTGGTTCTCAAACGTTTTATGCTGCGCCTCTTTTAGAATTTGTCAAGTCTCACGTTCAAAAGTAACTAACTAACAATAAGAGACAAATAACAGATAGCAAGGCGAAAGCATGTTTTATTTAAAAAAAAACTCGTTGAAAATACGTGGAAATATTGACATAAATGAAAACTTTTGAAATGTAAATATCCAAAATAAGACGAGTACGATCAAATCTAGCAAATATTTTTATTTTCAATTAACTTCACGACTCCTCACAAAATTGTCTACGCCCCACCCACCAAACCCCCCTTGCGGCGCGCGACCCACCGTTTGTATTAGATTTATGTAAAGCGTGTCACGCTAATGTAGCTTACGTAGTTCGATATATACATTTTCTGAATTGAGGGAACCTGTTGTTAGTGAGTTCGACACAAACGAGAACCCGTTCCCAAACGTTTGAATCCCACTACTGATTGTAGGTTTATCGATGTCTCCGAATTGTGGGGAGGTGTGTTAGTGTCTGATTTTACCTTTATGTCTATTGGATTCATAAAGAGAATTAGGACAAAAGTAATGTACAGAGAATAATTAAGTTTATTCCTAATTCCTATTAAGACATCGCAAGCAAATAAAGAGTTAAACCCGGAAAAGAGACAAAACTCAAAGCAAAGCGTGTCTCTTTCTAAATATATATAAGTAAAACACGATCACGCGCTTTCTCACCGTACTCAAATGTGGGCATGATGTATTTGTAATGTAACTTTAACTGGCGAATGCACAGCTAAGGGCCACGCGCAGCTACCGGCATATCACTGACTCGTCAGGATTTAGAATATGTTAATCTTCTGATTAAAGTAAACATGAATATTTTGTTTTCAGTCGTTGCTACACGAGCGATACAAATGAAATAACTACAGACTGCGCAGCAGAACAGTACGAAGAAACGTCTACAGCTTATTGTAACACCTTTCCCTGTGACTGGTTGGAACCGTGAGTAAAAAAAAACAGAATATATAGCAACTTGTATATCATTGTCTAGGATTCCGAAATAATCAAGTACTCGAAAATACCCGTCCATAGTGGTCATTGATTTGATAAAAACAAAGTACTGGCAACGTAGGGTCACTTCTTTTCCATTAAATAGTATGTTTGCGTATTACTATATGTGATTCACGCCACCTCCGCTATGAGAGATTTTCTATGGAAGTTTACCCAAATCAAAGCGCAGGTACTCATTCAAAATTGAATGAATTCACTTATTTCCGAATTTGACATAAAATATATATGTACTTCATGAAAAGACATATACAGAGTACCTAAAAAACACCACCAATAGGCAGCAAGTATTAAGAAAAAGTCACGAAAACAAATCTGACCAACTTTTGCGTTGGATATAGTGTGTGGCATTTATGTGGACATGAACTCGGACTTGTGTAGTTTGCTTTCATTTTTTTTTTTAAATTCGGATCAGAACGACATCACTGGAATCCAGCCTTTATGCCCAGTGATGACGACGGAAGTTAAGTTGATTACCCCTAACAGGGGTTCTCCATTTACCAACATGCTGTGTAAATACTTCCATTCATCATTTTTAGATGGTATTACGTGTTTTATGATAAAATATAGTGGACCACTTGCAGTCGCACCGGCCCTGCAAGCAGGACCGGATTCGAATTATGACTAAATAGTATTTTATCTAGCCATATTCTCGGCGAGTCATAGTGATCTACTCTTTACTAGTGGCCGATATCTTTGAACACAAGGCAAGATGGTGCTACCCGGTAAAGCAGTTCATTTTTGGCATATAAGTCCAGAGCTCTTTTTCTCTCATTTATTGTGGGTCGAGTTACCGACAGGATTTTTTTACTATGGTGTTTTTGCTTTCAGATTAAGCTTTTACCTAGATATTGATATGCAAAATGTGTTCCTGTTTTTACCCTGCACATATTATATGTTGTTAGAAGTTATAAATGTCATATTTTATGAAACTCATATTCATTTCTATCAGCTATGCTACTGTATTTTCTCTGTGATTCTTGTGTGAATATATGTAACAAATGCAACGTGCGTTATTTCGTTCCAGGACAGAAACGACTGCGCCTCAAATACTATCAACTACTACATTGGATATTCCATTGGGGGGTAAAAGCTTTATATTACCAGAAAAGGATTGCAACTTGCTTTGCTCTATGAGTCCCGATGTTTCAACGCTGAATCTTGTTAAAAACTGCGGCGCCTCCTCTGAACCCGGAAAATGTAGCAGGTAAAGTCATGTGTTTGGGAATAGAATAGATTTATTTTTTGCTTACCAAAAAAAATTGATAAAACTGAATTTAAGGCGAAATATGAAACGTTCAACAAACTACATATTATATCGTACGGTGTGCCTTGGAATTACCCAAACTGTAAATATTATTCAGTTTGATTAAACACTACTAAATAGTCATGGATAAACATTGGGCTAGCCAAAGGTTCTAAATCATTGTTGTCTATATTTATGCTGGACTTACGTTTTCCGTGATCGTGTTGATTATTACAATATTCAAAATCAGAAAAGACCTTTAATCTTCATTGTGCGAGCTTTGCGCTCAAGTTTTAGTCAAACTTGTCAAATCTGAGCGAAGCAAACGTATCGCTCTGACCGACCACAATGAGCGGTTTCGAGAGGGTAAATTCAAAAACAATACCTGTGAGTGCCTCTTGGTACGCGACGAAGAATCGCTCAATTGACATGAAACATTTAAAATTTGTTTAGCTAACTCCTCGTTGCTTTCTTGTTTTTAGTGATTGTCATATTGTTTACCTCATGTACTTAAAAAAAACGCTAAAATATTTTTTATATACAGTTCAGAAGTAAAATTTGCCGTGACATGCGATAAAGCTCACAAATGCTTGGAACTTGACAAATACCAATGTACTGTATACGGAGACTGGTTGATTTGGACAGAATGGCAAAGTGACGGGGCCGGTTTGTTGGTAAGAGAAACTTATAGAGACAAATAGAATGTATATACCTTATCCTGCTGCCATTGCTGCGGTAATACCAAATTTATATCTGAGTGTAATAATAGATGTAGAAATATTTATTGAATGTTTTAACAGCGCAAATTCATATTCAATTAGATAACAGAAAGACCATAACTAAAGGCAAACTCATTTTGAGTTTTTCAAATTTACTGACGTAATGGTTAGTTAGACTGGTACCTGAAATTGGTATTTTATGAATAAATATTTATTTAATGTTTTAACAGCGCAAGTTTATAATCTATTCTAAATCAATCTTACTTCAGTTTAAATAGAGAAAGTAATTAAAGGCAGCAAGTTTAAATTTCCAAAATGTTCAATATACCAGCATAGATATCGCCATCGCTTATGTGACGTTGCCGTTAGTCAACTGAAGGAAGAAATCAAAGAATGTCAACGAGAAGTTCTTATTGAGACAGAATGCAAAGATCACGTGTCAGAAGGAACTGAGTCGACCACGCGCGGAGTTGACAGTAAGACTATTTTTTATTGTCCATCCGCGGACTAATTGGCATAAATCTAATACTTTTTTAATCGTATCACATCTCTCCAGTCGTTGCAATTTGCTGGGAAACTTATATGTGTGAACCACTAATGGTACCATGAATCGTTCTTATTATGCGTACTTTAGCTGAAATTTTACATGAATTGACATTTTTCACTTTAACCTTTTAAGCCGACAGTTATTGCAAAGCATCAGCTGACAAGTATATATTGTGACCAAATGCCCGAATGTTTTTTTTATTACTTGCATTTTTATTTTATTTGGCGAACCAATGCTTAATAAAATACCATTCGATTGATATTGACCCCACTTCAAACAAATTTAGTTGGGCGTGTTTCATTATAAAATGTTTTTCATTCTCGTTGGGAAATTATCAGATAATTTTCAGATCAATCAATATTCATAAGATTTGAACTTCACTTTTTAGCCGAACCTACATCGATGCACAGTTCATGGATTATTCCTCTTATAATCGCTGTCGTTTGTTTCATCCTACTGATGTGTTGCTGTGGAACGTGGTTCTGTTGCATGCGCCGTAGACGCAAAAAACGTAAGACTGGCGTCGGCGAAAATCAGCAAACAGGAGCCAATGAAAACGGCGATGACGTATTTATAAATGGACAAGGGAATGTAACAACCGGTAGGAAATAGTGCAGAAAAATTCAAATAGCGTAAAATGGTTAGCTAGTAGCCTTGTATTGCTGGAATTGTACGTAATTTAGTCTATCTCCCACTTGTGGTCAATGGAAGTTAAAAAATTGAATAAGTCGTTCCAAAAGAGAACGATTCCAATCCTTTCAATCCCCTGAATACGCAAGTATAATTGGAGGAGGATCATTCATAAAAAGCCAAAACATGAATTAACGTGACGAGGCATCTGACCGCTTTCGTGAACAATTGAAATGATATTTGAGAATTTCTCCAAGAGCGATATTATAAGTATATAACAATAGCGGTTAGTTGGCGGTCTGTTATTCTTGGATTAGTCGCTACCTCTTTATGGCAATTCTTCTCACCTGGCTCACTACCTTACCCAGGATGTTATAAATTAGATAAGTCAGACCAAAATAGTAAAGATTCCAATAGGTGCGGGTATGAGCTAAGGCTCAGGAATACCGCTGACATTGCACTTCTGATCACCCTGCGTTGGTTAGCAGGTTCGCATCCCGTGGGGTATTTTTATATGTGAGAGGATTGCTGGACTCCTCGCCGGTTGGTTGACGTTATGATATCTTATCCATTGAAAGTTTAAAGTACCAAATGTATTTGTGAGTGAATATTTTGTACAAAAGCCAAATCATTAGTTTTATTTATACAATTTCATTTGTAGTTAATGCCAGAACTGGAACAACGAATGGCCTGAACGTGATGCATCGAATTGAACGAATATCGGAGCATTTGTATGAGGCAATATCAATGAGAGGTTCAAGGTTATTCTCAAGGTCATCGACTTCAAACGACGGAATGAATTCACAATGTAAGTTGTTACTATATCAAGAAATACTATTTCATCCCTAGTGTTCTTGTGGCTACGGCCACATACAGATAATATTACTTTGTTTTATTATCGAAATTGACAATCGAAATTCTTGGTATAAAGACATTGACTATGGAGTTGACAGTGTTAGAGTATTTTATTCGTACCTCATAGTACGAATAACAAGAGTGGAGTCTCCAGAACTTTCGATGAGTAGCGTATCGTCAAAGCAGCAAATTTTAGAATATTGCCGTCATTCAATAAATGTTGTAGACAATTCGCTGTTAAACTAAAACACTCCATTCAGGGTATACAAATGGTCAGGAAACGACGACGAAGCCAAGTCAATTATTCGTGCCGGTCAGTGACAAGGTTGAGAATGAATATGTGAGCGACGATGATGGAAGTAATGTGAGTGATTGTTGTTGTTGTTGTAAAAACATCGATTCTCTCGGCAACTATTGAACCGACCAATCAATTGGTTGAAGCCGCTAAAAGGCTATCACCTTTATTTTTTCTGTGGCCCTGCGCCAAACACAATCGAAAGTACAATGTTCTATATATATTAGAGTTTAGGCCATAGTCGCACCACAATGCTCACAATGGTGTCACTGCTCGACAACCAACTTTGGTTTCCCGCGGCTCCCCTAACCCTGAAATGCTTTTTTCACTATTCATTGTATTTGTAGTGTGCTTTCAGTATGGTAAAAAAAATAAACTACTGATTACTTATTTTCAAATTCCCTCTTAGTCCCATCAGATTCGATTTACAACTGCTATTTTATTGCTTTGTTTTAAATTAATATTGAACGATTTCTTCCATCGCACTTATTTGCGGGTCTTTTTCAGCAAACTCGGTGCTCAGTGTTACCGATATAAGACTTTCGTACCCATATATATGATCTCTGTAATGCCCTCTTAGTTTTTTTGTTTGTGAATTTTTACTTTTATTTCCCAACTTTGATTTTGTTAAACTTATATACACACGTGACTTGATATCCTTGCGATAACATCTGAAATATTTTATTGCCTAATTGCAGAGATTGCCAACAACTTTACTTTCAACTGACATACCGATGCGAAATACTGGCAAGCTTCACGTATCAGAAAGAGATAACGTTCTCCGAATATCTGTGATGGTGACGGATCCAGACGGAAAAGAAGTCTTAACTGACGATGAATTGAAAGACGTAAGTTTGCCAATGGAATCGATTTCGATCATTTTTATTTTTGCCATTGGTTTAATGCTCTAGAATTCCATAACAGTTTCAAACATGTCCATGTTACTAAGCTATCTTTCAACGTCAGTTCCCAGAATTTATCATTGCCCATTTCAATCGAAATATTATTGGCAAATCTAGAACATACGATCTTTTTGCAAAAGAGTTTTATCAGTCCACATACAAAAGAGTTAATACTATGCAAAAGTGCAATTGATGAAAATGATTTATTTCAACCTCCCACGCAGGATAAAAGCCAATCATCAAAGTCGCTTCTGAAGACGACACGTAACACAAGTGAAGATTATGTGGCGATGAAGAATGATCAAACTCAGAACACAGCAATGGTAATTATACAAGAATGCTAGAAATTCATGATGAATTGGGCCAATCGCTCAGTTTCGTTGTCAGGCAACACTGGAGACACAATTGGTGGTATGTGTTTGAGTTTAGTGTCTGGACAAACATTTGAACCAGCGATATTAAAAATAAAATACTTTATTAGCAATCTGAAAAAACCTTTCGTGATCAGTTATATCATATTAAATACTATAATGTTGTCGTTCATTTTGATGATGATGAGATTTCTTACTATGAGCATCAAAAAGGATGGCAGGTAAAGTCAAAATCACGTACACTTATTCTCCGCGTTTAATCGCATATTTCCAAGTCATTCATTTCTTTTACGTAATGTTAAATTTTTAAAATTTTCTTGCAGATGCCAACTCTCACCCAAAGAAAAAAGCAATGGGATCGAGTTCCTTTTCCTCCACCATCAACTTCGTCAAGTCCAAGGATTTTCACAACAAACAAGACCGATGACGTAATGAACAAACCTTCAAGTAAGTCAAACACCTTGTGCTGAAACCAAACTAGTCATTGAATATGAACGTAAAAAATATTAATGACGACCTATAGACCTATGATGAAACTAATGAAAATTTCATTCACAAACACTGGAATCAGAATATGAATAGCGCGCAGCAGTTTCGACCAATTAATTCAAGCAATTCTTGCTTTGATGAGGGTCCTTTTCGAATTATTTAAGTAGACCTGAAGCCAAACCTAAGATATGCCGAGTATTCTGTTTTTTTTTTCTGAGAGCATTGGGCACGGACTACTGGTAACTTGGCCACTTATTCAATAAAGCTGGGGTTCGTCAACTGAATAAATAAATATATATATATATTATTCATCTGCCTGAAACGGTTGCTTTCGTGTGACTGTAAATCGCCAATAATATACTAGTATTGGAAGGCTACGTTTTAAATCGTATTTAACAAAACGACTTCCAATTGGGCGTTAATCTTTTCCGAAAAAAAAAATATATATTATGAATTTGAAGCATTATTGATTCAGAGTCGCCAAGTTTTAATACAGATTATGGTACTCCCGAAGTATGAGAACCAAAATGGCGGACACCGGAACGTAGTTTTGTACTAGGTTAGGGTTAGGCCATAATTTTATCCCAATTTTCAGTTCTATTACGAGTTAGGGGATTAACCAAGTGACTCCCGTTGTATTTGTACCCGAAATTATGGCCTAAGCCTAACCTGGTACACATACTACATTCCGGTGCCCGCCATCTTGGATCACATACTTCGGGAATACAATAGATTATTGCCATTATTAGAAGTTGTATAAAAGTAAACATTATTGGTTGCTAATTTGTTGATTGTAATACCGAGTTACTCTCATTCTTTCCGTTTTTCAATAGATCATAGGCAAGTGGGAACGTTCAAAGCAGGAATCATGAACATGCTTCAACATGTAAGAAAAGGACCAGAAAATGAAAACAACAAACTGACGCCTAAATATGACGATGTATCTCCCGGTCAGTTCTAGAAAATTTCTAACTTATTTGGTAAAATTAAACAAATTTGGGTATCCGGATGAGCTGCACTAGATCGTGTCAAGCAACATCGCGATGCTGTGTGAAAGTATCAAATATTTGTAATTTACTATAGAGCAATACTGGCCTTAGTAGTATGTTCCCCATCCTATTATTTTAATAAGGGGTTGTTTCCAAATTTAGCGGGTGGTAGATAATTTGTTATTAGTGATAAAACTGTTTGTAGCCTATAAAAATGTGTTATGCATTTGGCTGATAATCTTTACTGGCATATGGCCCACTTTCTGGATATTCAAACACATTTTTATTTACGATAAGAACTGGAACTGTTTAAAATTTCAGGCGGGGTGTTCAGTCCCTATAGGGGTGATGTAGAGACATCACTGGGCATTGGACTTCACTAGTGGAATTATCCGAACGTCGTGGTTTGCATCCTTCCAACGAAATAAATTTTGAGCAAATTACAGTATTTGATTATATATATATACAATTAGTTCTTGGCTTAAGATTTCATTTGAAACTGCATTTATTTTATGGATAACTCAATAATAGTTTCAATTTTCACAGACATGTCGATGGGAGACGATTTGGACGGTCAAGTTTATATTCCTTCCGCTCCTGGTTCTGTTTGTGACAATACATCTATGTGGTCTGATAGCACGTTTGATAGCGTCAACTACTCAGGTAAGCGCGTTTTTATGTCACTTTATGACTCTATTGTAAGCCAAATAACGAAATCGACAGATCTAATTGCAGGGTATAGGCCTACATTGCGCCCATTAACTTAACAGTGAGTCATCTGCTCGCAGACATAGCCGGAGCAAAGCTTGCTGACTTGAGCCTATTAATTATTCCTCCTTGTACGAACACCAATACAACTTTAATAAAAGTAGGAGATCACATCGTCCATCAGTTTTCCTATGTATATGTGTACATACGTAACCCTTCACAATATATGTACTCTGAATCACGTTATCTTGTCCCATTGAATAACGAACACGATTGTTCAAATTACCAGATCGTGAAAGCTCAGAGTCTCCACCCGAAGATATTCAAATTGTCAGCAACAGTAAGAAGAATAAGCGAGCGAAAGGAAAACCAGACAGAAAGTCGAAAACTTCACAAATAGACAAAGACGCAACGACAGCACCTCTGCTAACACCTAGCAACACCTTAGTGCCACAAGTGCCGACAGCAACCGAATATCTAACGCCTAACAGTCGACGAATCGCTTCGGTACAATATTTGTCTCCACGACCGGGTAATCCCGTGAACGGTGGCAAAACATCGAGTCAAAGTTCGCCAACATCGGGCCAAAATCACCTCACTCCAACGCTGTTGCCATTGAACAACGAAAACGAAACTTATTTGCACATGAACGAGGGCAGATCAACGGTAAAAAGTTGGTTGAACCTCGGACCTGCTCCAGATCCGAATAACGACGATCTTATATATGGACCAAATCGAGTGGATTCGATAAGTAGTTCCAACGACTATTGCACCGCTAATGATGTGAGCCAGAGCCAGCTTGACCATATGAAACAATTACACCGACAGCAAAGTTTAGATGTCAAATACACAACCTCGCCTTCACACGAGTATCCACAGACTGCAAGTCCAAGCGTTCTGCCTCTTGATGCAGGCGGGTATTTTAACGTGCACTTTCCTGGGCCTCCATCTCAACGAATTAACACAATTGAAGCTCAAAAGGCCGCCAAAAATGTCATCAGAGCACCGCTGATGCCAAAGCATAAAAAGTGACGTAAACAAAGCATTTTTAGTAGATATACTCCACTGTGACAGTCCTATTTGCGATTTAAGAACAGTATTTTCCAAAACTTGGTGACATAAGCTACTATTTTAATGCAAAACGAAACCTGTCGCAATCCTCCGACTGAAAGAAAGGTTGTGAAAGTCTATCTACCGAGCATTTTGCTATTCTGACACATATACGAGCGGGTATGAGAACAGGATTTTCCAAAACGTGGTGACATACTATTTTAATGCATGACAAAACTTGTCACAATCCGCCGTCACAAAGAAAAGTCTTAGAAATCGATCTGCCCTTCTAGGACTATCAACACAATCTGTAGGGGAACAGCGAACGTGCTTCTTATCCACCAGCGTGTTTTTATTTCAAATCTATCTGGTCACAGTCAGTGGTGGGACTCAGCCGGTTCTATAGAACCGTCTCACGGAATTTTATGAGATCAGCGAATCGGTTAGCATTATTAAATAAACATTAACTGAACCGGCCGAAAAATATGACTTTTGTGATGGAACAGGCTGACAAAAAATTTGAATCCCACCACTGGTCACAGTACTAAGTCAAAACTAGTGTTCTAAAATTGTGTTGCTTTTAATTAAAATTTTGAATTATGCAGCAATAAATGTAAGAAGCATATCTTGGCTAGAATCTTACTTTGTTGCAATTTCTTTAGGTAACAGTGCTGCGTCAGTCGCCCCTGGCCCTAAATACTTGGCAATTTAAAGGATTCAAATTCACCGCCTTTTTGAAAAACAAATGCGAACAACTCTTCTCTGTCGAAATGAAGCAAAGAGCGGCAGAGGCAGGTAACCAGACTCCACAGAGTGTCGAAAATACTCGCTCAATTTAACCTTGTAAAAGTAATTACGCAATGTCACCAGATGTTGAAATTCCAGGGATATCTGTGAATGCATTGACCCTCTTCCGGTACCCTTGCTGAAGTATGCGCACCAAGATGTCGCATAACCTGAACCCTAACCTATTACACGATCTGCGTTCAGGTTGTGCGCATACTTCAGGAGGTTCCATCTTCCTCCTATCATAATTGAGATAAGCCATAAAAATGGTTTCATATTTATTCACATCAATCGAAATAAAAATAAGAAAAGAAGAAAATCAAATTATGCGTCCTGCAACTAAGATAAAATCATAAGAAAACAATTTTGCCGGAGTCTTGCCTTGGATCAATAAAATAACTAAAAGCAGCTTGGACACAAGAGAGACGATCCACAGGTGTCGCTATTGAGTAGGAAGGAATCCACGAAAATCAAGCTCGTTCTGGGCACACTAATCATTTTATAAAACCTGTCTTAAATCATTAATAGCCTACGCCAAATCATAACAGACGCGATAAAGATCAGGAAGCTAAGTAGAGTTAAGTCTGTGATAACGGGATCGCTGGTGCATTTTTTCATGGTCGCGGGCACCGTTACCCGCGATCGTCGTATACTTTGGATAGCTCTTAAGTGATCGACATCGCCGTGACGTAAATGTTGAAGGACGTAGTCAGATGGGGGCCAAAATTGTTATGCCATGCCCACTAGAAGTAACGGTAATACCAAACTACAGTAAAATGTGATTATCATAAAGGTTGCAGGATAAATTATAGCACGGATCAGGGTGCAGCAGATAGAATTTAGTTACTTGGCGTTCAACTTATTATGATTATTATTGAAACATCACGATAATTCTAAACTATGAAACAATCAGTATCTCCTTTGTATGGGTTTATAATTGGCGGGAAACGAAGATCTTGATTGCCTTGTGTCGGATGATGGGATGTAGCCTTGTGTTGCAGGTATCATAGATTGTGGTGGTGCTATCAATGCAGTGGGAGAGGGTGCAACTGTACCGTAACCTGCTGCTGCAAGCCTGAAAATAAAAGATTATATTAGGTTTCATATCGCTCTCAACCTCTCTTGAGCCCAGGTTTCCCACCTTTATTAAAGCAAACCATGTTTTTAAACAAAATAAAATTTTGTAAAACCTCGCTTTCCAAGAATATGCTCGAATACGAAAAGCATTGTAATGCTCTTATAGCGAAAAATTAAATTAAATTGCTATTACATTTATTTTGCCAGATATCACTTCAAAGTGAAAAACCTGCACTTATAGTAGATGATGCTAAATCTTACACTTTGATACTTCCAAATGATGTAATTACTAATGAGCAACACGTCAACGCAAAATATAAGATAAACAGTAAAATTGGTGATAGTAACAGAAAAGCATTTAATGTTACAAATATCATCCTGTGTGATTCAGTATTACAGCTCAAATCAATGTTAAAACTGATGGGTCGAAAACCCCAGAAGACAAACTTAAATTAGAAATAAATGTAGTATATTCTCACATTTGTCTAGAAATGGCAGACGTGGCCGAAGCAGGCATTGATGAACCTGGCCAAGCTCTAACGTTCTGTGTTGCACTTGGCCACTGTTGTACATGACCCCATGCTGCACTTCCTGTATTACGTCCTGTTGTAGGAATGGAGCTGCCCCTGTGGAAATCAAGAATCCTTATTGTTTTCATGTAATACAAAACTATGCATTTTGAGTTACTCGCGTAGTATGTGTACCAGGTTCGAGTCAGGCCATAATTTTATTCCGGTTTTTCTCGTCTAAGTTCGGGGACTGTGGGTGTTAGCCAAGTAAATATATCATTTAGCCCCTTTATTAAACAACTTGATGTAAAGTAGACGAACAAAATTAGTAACCTCCATATTGGTACACACACACTTCCAGAGCGCCGAAATTAGTCTAGAATGAGATTAATTAGAAAATGATAAACATAACATTGTAGGCAATGACCTTTGTTTCAAACATTTCTCAAACTTAAAAAGAGTATTCAGCATTGGTAAACCTCACGAATATCAAAGCAGCCAACAGAGGTCACTCCAATGGCAATTTGAGCCATATATTTATTTCTATTGTACAAGACAAATTATGTGAAGAACAGAACTATTGCCTAATTTGAATGGCCCTTCAGAACATTTCCCAACCATCTCATCTCCTAATAGAAATCATGTGAGGAACAGGGCTATCTTCCAACAATGTAATGCTCCTTCAGTACATTTCCTTTCCCAAACATCCAATCTCCTATCCATGCCAAATAACTATACACATATCCAGTGTTCCCTCTAAAGTGTGTGCGCTCGTGCGCGCACACAGCTTTCAGAGGCTGCGCACACGCATATTTTACTGCGCACAGACCTATTTTGATGTAATGTAACAATGTTTCGGTTGGCAGGTTGAGAAAGTTTGTTGTTGGCCCACCCATTACCCGGTTAGAACGCCAAAATTTCTTCATTGGTTTTTGCACAAATATTAGTCATTTCCAAAAAAGTGCGCACACACCAAAATTTCTGCGCACACATACTACAAAAAATTAGAGGGAACATTGCACATATCCAAGTAAAACACAACTTACTCAGATCCAACAGAATAAATCTGAGAGGAACTGGATTCTGTACTATCAGGCCATCTTCCTTGATATTGTCCGCTGGATCTTCCTGGTGGAGATGGAGAGTGACTGCTGTCATGATGACTTCCTCCACCTCCTCTCCTCTGGCTGCCTCTTTCTCTACTTTGTTCAGAATATGAATCCTACAGTAAGAATAAGATAGGGTTTCATATTTATCCAATGGGGCAGAAAAGGCGATAAGATGATCTACACGCCGTACCATTTCACAATTTTTCAAACTGAAAATGAAATTCTTTCATAATTCAAAAACATGCCTGTCAATAAAATTGTCGAAAATTTAGAGTCCCAGTACATTTCAAACTTTCTTAAATCAGTGGTTCCCAAAGTTGATTGACCTTGACCGGAAGCCAAAATTAGGAGCCGGAGGATATTTATGAGCTTGGAGATGGGAACGCGCGAAAGGACGTGACTTGTTTTTAATCCATTTCGTATAATTAAGAATATTTGAATTATTACGAATGAATATACACATGCTTAAAACTGTGATAATGACCTAACAATTGGCGATACCTAGAACGCAAAACTAAAAACAAAGTGTTAAAAAGTTTGGCGTGGCGTTTGGCGTTAAATCGCTACGCAAGCTGTAATTGGCTGGTTCTTGAAGTTACAAACACACATATACAGTATAACATATGAATTCATATATTCCTACCTGTCTGCCACCTCTGATCTGTTCTCTCAAATCTCTATCATCAACTCCTCTTCGTGACGTCTCACGTCCAGTCGTCTTTCCAGTATCTCGCCAAGCACCCCCTCTTGATCCACTGGATGGTGCCCTTGCATTACCAGAAGGTGAACTATCTCTTCTGGCACGTCGGACTGGAGGCGACTGCTCTCTTGTGATTTCTATTCTAGCTCCAGATCCACTGCGAGCACCGGGACGTCTGAATTCCTGACTTGTGGCACTGGAACTGTGAATACAAAGGAGAGAGATTGAACTTAGTCCTGCAAATACTAAAATTATTTTCATGCTGGATTTTTGAGGTGAAATGAATGGAAACTCACTAGAATCAACGTACAACAGACTCAAAATTAGTCAAAAAAAAAAATGAAACACCAATCCTACCCTGTCTGTCTCTCCCTGACGACTTTTCTTCCACTCTGGTCCCTGCCTGATGCAGCAGTAGGTCGCCTACGACCCTGTGAATCTGCTGTTTCACGATCTGTAAAAAAATTAGGATGTCTGAGTGAAAATAAATAATAATATTGCCAAAAGCTTGTAATTAGAATTGCATTCAATTATATACACCCCGCTCTGAAAAGGGGCATTGTACAATGTGTCAACTGATATGTGAGCTTACAGATTTTGGCAAAAATCCCATCTGACTATCTGAGTTAAAAACATGCTATTTACAATGCTTTTGCATTTAAACCAATTAATTATCAAATGATTACCGTAAATCATAAATTAGATGTCAAATGATTGAAAAACTATACTCAGTATAAACAAAATCTAGATATGCAGGGTGTCCATAAAGAACCTTTATATTTTTCAATTTTGTAATGTAGTCAGTTCTCAATATATCTCAAATTGTTTAAGTATTTCAACTTCATTTAATACATCTGTGACTGTGAGGGCCAAAACAATATACAGTATCGATAAATTCCCTTTGCAATTTGAATTTTTTTTAGGACTTTATGAACACCCTATATAAAACGAACAAGTTGCCAACAAATTGGGATATGGTAACTCTGCACTCCAGATAAAAACTAAATCTTACCATAACCATGAGCATATTCCACAGATCTTCCACCAGCAGTATCTCTTGATCCAGGTCTTCTGTCATATTTTTCAACTGTTCTACCAGCAGTTGCTGCTGTGCTTCCACCATATCTAAATATAGAATTTCAAGTTAACTTGTGCTTAAACAAAATAGATGATAAATTCGACAACATCTGAATAATGTAGGACTAAAATATAATAGAGCAGATATTATTTGCCCAAAAGCTCGGTCAGACAAAAAAATTGGGACAGTCTTACACAACTTCAGTGTTTCACAACAGGAACTGGTTTTGGAGGAAGAATAATACTTGTAAAACATATATGCAACACTTTAAACAACATATACGCAAACAAATTAAACTTCGCAAAAACCGGGGTGTTGGGAGTTCATAACACTACTTACACTAGCTAATAATTCATTGAAGGTTAAATAGAAAATAGCACAATAAAGGAAGCATGAAGAGTTTCGAAGAAGTCAAAAGGAGGGATATAGCCAAAAAGGTTTGTTCAACATACCTGGCATCTCCATCAGGCCCTCGTCTACCATCACGATATTGTCCAGCAGCACTGTTACCAGATTTTCCACGACCATCTGTTGGACCACTTCCTGATCCATGGTATGTACCCTGCTACATAAATATATTTTGAATCTTTTAATCATTTTTATATGTATAAGACTTTAATAATAAGAGGACACTTCGAAATTTGAAGAAATTGATTTTCAGACAAAAAATCAGTGGAAAATTGTAACGCAGCTTAGGGTGAGATATCATATCAACAAGATAGGTTAATAAAATATGGAACTTTCAAGTAAATTGATATCAGTTTTCATATTTTGTATATTTGAAAATCTTGTAATGCTCTACTTTGTAATTTTATTTTCGATTGATAAAAATAAAAGACATCCCTCCCAAATAAGACCTAGTGTCTTTTTAGAAAAAAATTGAAATAAGACTTTTCGTGGAAAGACTGTATGGTGGGTTTAGTCAGACAATTGTTACAATGAATGTGGCCGGCTAATGTTATTGTTACTTATCGATCTTGATCGGTAAGTATGTTGATAGGTGTTTGTCTGTTAGGTGCACGCGATATCTCACAAAAACAAGGTTGAATCTGCTACAAAGTTTGCATGTGCATTCATCAAATCTTGGACCAGAAGCCTATTGATTTTGGATGAATTATGTCGTATTCTTAGCGAGTTATTGATTATTTAGTGGTGGGACACGCGGTGTCACTATAAGGTCAGAGCGAATGAATCGAAACTGCAGTTTTTGTTTTGAGGGATCCCCCAACTTTCGATCGATGAGTCTTCGGTCTCCGACCGATATTTTCGTTGGAAAGTTGCTTGATAAATTCTCAGTTCAGATAGGGGCGAAATTACTTCTACACTATACTAGTTAGTAGAACTATTCAAGAAACTTCAATCATCATTACTGAGACCATGATCAATGTCCAAACCCCATAATTAAAAATAATGAAAAGGCAGACAGATTAATTACAAAATCAAATTGGTTTAAAATAATTTGGGAATTAGCATTGGCTCTAGTACAGGGGTTCTCAAACTTTTTAAGCCACGCTACCTTTTTAGAATTCGTCAAGTCTCGTGCCTCACCTCCAAAATAACTAGACAACAGTAAGCTAAAAACAGATAAAAAGGCGAAAATATGTTTTATACAAAAAACACATTGAAAATACATGGATGGATCATAAATATAAAAATACCAAAAATGTAAATATTCTAAATTTGCTTCCACCCCCTCAAAAAATGGTCTACGACCCCCATGTGTGGCGCGACGCACCGTTTGAGAACCACTGTTCTAGGACCAACATGTCCTCAACTCTCAGGAAGCTTTGTCATTCAATGACTAATTCACACCTTTATGTATGACAAATAAAAACGAGAGAATAGCAATGCCAGGGCAAATTATTTACCTGACTTGATCTGTAGGTTGTAGTACCAGGTGGAGGAGGTTCAGAAGAATCGTTTCGTGACAAAGGTCCGTTTCTCGATGGTCCACCACGCTGATTGTAGCCATCATAGCCTCTGTGAATTAAAATTAAAGAATGACATGATTTCCAAGGGCAGTATAGTGTTATTTGTAAATGTTGGAAATATTGGACACGAAGTGGACATAACGTTCGTTTCAAAATTTTGTTGTTATTGTTATTGTTATTTGTCTCAGTCTCCATTTTTAAAAAAATCGCTTTTCTCTTCGAATACTGGACCAATTGCTTTGAAATTTTCAGTGGTTGAAGATAAAATTTTTCTCCAGAAGGCTATTACTTTTTTTTTCGCTATGACGTCATCAAAATTATTGCCATCTGGTGGCGCTACGTGTCCATATATTTGAGCATAGCTCTCTTGTTAGATAAAAAGGGTACTCCCGCAGTGTATATACCAGGTTAGGGTTTAGGCCAGGGTGGTCCAAGGTTGTCAGCCTCGCGGGCCACTATATTATTCCCGTATTGTTCGCGGGCCACAATAGTGCTAAGAATAGGTAAACAGTGCAATACAAAACAAACACGTTTAGTGTGCAAACACATAGTTATCAGACATAGTCATCTATAGCTAATAGAACCCGCATTAGATTTTCAGTTTTCTATTGTTAGCATATGTTCTCGACCAAAAAGATAGAAAGCCAGATAATAATTTAGACTGCCAAGTGCCAATCACATTATTCAAATTCGCTAGTTGCATCAACTAGCCATAACACTAGTCAATTCAGTGACATTATTGATTTAACAATATGTAAAAAGATTTTCTGATTAATTTTATTACGAAACAACACAAAATGCTATTTTTTGATTACTCTCCGAATGTGACGCAGGCCACAGATAATGAAGCTGTGGGCCACATGTGGCCCGCGGGCCTGGGTTTGGACCACCCTGGTCTAGGCCATAATTTTATCCAGATTTTCCTTATTTTAATTCTATTACGAGTTCGGGAAATGTGTTATCCAAATGCATAACACCCTGCCCATAGGATTCAGTCTCTTTACACAACTTGATGTGAAGTAGGCGAGCAAAATTAGTTACCTCCATATTGGTACACATACTTCTTGGAGCGCCAAAAAAAAAAGACTTTGCAATTACACTGAATGCCATAACCAAAGTTTGTGCCAGAGAGGTTTTTGTACACTCATCGAAAACATTGTATACTATCAAATTTTGGTGTCGCCTATCTAAATAGGATCTGATCTCACGAGGGTCCATGCTGAATGATTGATACTCGCAATTATGATTCTAGTATTATTTTTTAAATTCTAACTCTCCTATGATAGGAATAGGATACAATATCATTAATCAAATGTGATACTAGTTAGTAGAACTATTCAAGAAACTTCAATCATCATTACTGAGACCACATCACAGCTGAACCATAATTAAAAATAAGGCAGACAAAAAAATTACACAATTAATATTAAATTAGTTTAAAATAATTTGGGAATTTTCAGATCAATTTTAAGGTAATGCATTAACTTAGAAAACGAGAATATTGGTCAGAGACCGAAGACTTATGGATCGAAAGTTAGGGGATCCCCCAAAACAGCGCTTTTACTCTATAGTGACACCTTGTGTCCAATCACTAATTAATTAATATCTCGCTAATTAAACAACATAATTCATCCAAAATCAATAGGCTTCTGGTCCGACATATGATGAATGCACATGCAAAATCTGGAGCAGATTCAATCTCGTTTTCGTGAGATTTCGCGTGCATCTAACAGACCGACAAACAGACAAATACCTATCAACATACTTACCGATTAAAATCAATAAGTAACAATGGACGAACACTATTCTATATAGAAAACTATAGGCTAACCACTTCACATATTCGGTTGGTGATTAACGCAGTGTGGGGTATAAGTTCCTAAATCCAGAGGCGAGTCAAGTCAAATATCGATTCAAGTCGCACTAGGCATCAGTTGATGACGAGTCCGAGTCAATACATTCAGGTGAGTCAAGTCACTTCAAGTCTTTTTAAAGAGTGACTTGGGTCGATGAAGCCCCCCTCAATACACTGATAATTAATTATACATCTCCATTATGTCAAAACCAGTGATTGATTGAGGCATTTTCGCAAATGATTGAAGCATCTGCCATATTGATTCACCACAATTTTTGGCACCAATATGGCGGTAACTAATTTTGTTCGCCTACTTTACATCAAGTTGTATAAAGGGATTGAAACCTATGGGCAGGGGTATATTCACTAGGCTTACACATACAGTACCTGAACTCGTGAAATAGGACTAAAAGAATGAAAATTGGAAACACATACAATGAGGGTACCCAATTTTTTCAAGTCTGTTACCTTCTGTCATCTCGTTCTCGTCTTGAATCGCTTCTTCCAATTTCTCTGTCAGAAACCATCGGACGTTTCGAGTCATATATATCACGGTTGGATGAACGGTTGCCACGGTGACCAGTTGAATCATCGTCGTATGTTCGCTTGATTGCACGTTGTCGTTGTTCCACTTCGTACCTGGATTCAAAAATGCAATTTTCTTTATTAATCTGCACAACTTTAGTCAGAAATCAAGATGCTTGCATCAAGTCCACAACCTTACTTTTTTAAATAAATCCTTATGGAATTATATTTATAAATGATATATTGTGCCATATTCATCATTTGTTATGGGTCTAGCTCACTGGTTTTCAACAGAAACATTTTCAAGTGGGCCACAAAGCTTTCATAAATTGCTGAAGAAAAATCGAATAAACTTGGATTGTAGTAGCAATGACGCATGATGCTATTTCTGCCACTGAGTGGTAATTTTTCTTTCAAATATTAATGGAAGTGGAAATGGTTGTTATCTTTACAAAAAATTTTTTTTGTAGTTTTTCCCTTGCATGAGTAAGGAACTAGGCCACAGCATTTGTTTGTGCAAAAAGGTGGGCCACTAAAGAAAAAAAGGTTGAGAAACACTGGTCTAGCTTCTACTTATTATTTCAAAACTAACCATAGAACTAATTTTCCTTCAAAAACATATCGATCAGAAACATAAACAGACAAATACGCAGCTTCAATCCAGGGTTAGTTGGTTGGCAATGTCACCCAATCCAACGCTGAAACCACCCATATCGATGCAATATTTGATTCATCTCAATATACCTGTTTCACATGTATGACCCACAGACAAACGACTTGATACATCATTGGAATATATAGAACATAAGATCACAACGAACAAAAATCAACAAAGCGATACAAAACATACCTGGTGATTTCTTGCAATCTTCTCATTTCAGCTTTCTCTCTTTCAATTCTTTCTAATTCTCTTTTTCTTTCAGCTTCAAGACGAAGTCTCTCTGCTTCGAGTCTGTGGTTAGAAACAAGTAATATAGTGAGATAGAGAAAACCTATGGGAAGAAAACACATTTGCTATCAGGCTTTGCAAAGCAATCGGTTAAATAAGAGATTGGTAAAATCTAACAAACTTCCAATTCCAAAGTTACATATAATCTATAGCAATATGTCCAAGTTGTCCAAACTACTGAATTTAAAATTATAGAATGTTTACCCATAATGAGAGTTTGCATATAACTTTACTATATTCTAATGGTTTCAATTCTCTTATGTTTTCTAAGTGAGAGTCTTGCTGGTCATAAATATATTTCCGGGATGTTTAATCTGAAGGTCAGACTTCCTCAGACACACATTATCCAACTACCCACCCAAATAGCACAGAAGAAGGGATGACTAGTTAGTCCCACATAAGCCAAATCGATAGCATCTGTTAAGTTTTGAAGAAGTTAGACAAGGATCTAACCAAAGCATACAAATATACTTGCTATTTCTTGAAAAGACATTGTTATTTTTATAAATTATCCGAATATTAATCAAAATAAGTATTCTCACCTCTCTCTTTCTTGTCTATCTTTTTCCAATTGTCTTCTTTCTCTTTCCAATCTCTCTCGTTCCTGTCTCAGTTTATCTCTTTCTTCTCTTTCCCGCCTCAATCGTTCTCGATCAGCGTGAAGATCGGCTCGTGATGCACCTCCACGCCCCAACCTAGCCCCACGTTCAGCAATACGAGCTCGATCACGTTCCCGTTGCTGAGCTCTGGAAATTATCAAAAAACATGTTACATAGTTGTTGGACAATGAGAGTAGATTGATTGTGAAATTGATCGCATAAATATCATCCTACAACGTAGAACATTGTAATTATCAGCACCCGTAATTAGGAATTGCTGGTCCATGGGAAAAAAAGATTAAATGCAGTAATTTGGGAAAATCATTGGATGGCAAGTTACATAGGGGGCATATAAATTGTCACTTCAAAATCTTTATTCAATATTCATTGAAAGGACGATTCTACTGATTCAAGAGTCTTGCTTGAATCAACCAAAACCCATTCCTCAGACAAACATAACTCTATTCTAGGAGTTCAATTCTCAAATAATTTTGGTTGGTTTGGTAACACGAAACAATCCAAACATATATTTGTGCTTCAGAGCGCAACAAGGCTGTTGAATCACTTTATTAAATATCTACCTTGCCACAGCATCCTTGGTACTATGCACATACAGATGCACCAGCACAAAAGCATAAAAGGTTAATAAAAAGGTAGTCATGTAAAAATCCGAATTAATAATAAAATGTAAGCAAATAGTAATTCAAAACTATTCATTAACTGCGAGTTTTTTTCCCCCAAGAAGACTAACATAGAGGGGTAGGCAAACTTGAAAGCTGCCATATCCTACAAACATTACACTCTCTACTACAAAATAGAATTTAAATTAAATAAATTCTCCTCAATTCTTACCTTATTTGATTGAATGACAGGATTCCTCCTCTGCCAGTGTTTCTGGATTGAGCACCCCTTCTATCTTCATAAGTACCTGATTGTCTTGACAACATACCTCCTCTGCCTCCCATCCGGCCACCTCGCCCTCTGTCAATAAAAAAAGATTTTGATTTTTGATGTGTCCCCAAAGCCTTTCAATTTAAAATAGTCTAATCTATTAATACTCCAGAAACAAGGGCTGAGCATTCTGAATGGTCCAAACGAAAACTTCGAATCGCCGCCATCTTGTTTTTTTGTCCGCCAAATCCCTGAATTTTTTTTATTGAAGCCACATTTTTAAACTAAAATTCTGTCGCGAGACCCTTTTTTTCTGAATTTTCGCTCATACATGTTACGTAACGCTCATATAATTACGTAAAGTACTCGCTGAACTGACTGAGCGATGGATGCTATGTTCTCGAAAAATTCATGTGTCTGGAGGACCATTACATAGAAGTTACATATAATTACATATCTCACAAGTCACAAGTATTCGATTCAAGATTTATCAGGTATGTGAAAACGTCCAGCCTTAGAAGTAACCCTACATATGACAAGAAGCTATATACAAGTCAATAGGGCGCTCCAGAAGTGTGTGTACCAATATGGAGATAACTAATTTTTTCGTCTACTTCACATCAAGTTATGTGAAGTGACAGAAACCGATGGGCAGGGGTATATTCACTTGGCTAACACAGACAGTCCCGAACTCATAAAAGAACTAAAATAAGGAAAATCAGAATAAAATTATGGCCTAACCCTAACCTGGTACACACACGAAGAGTACCATCATTAGTGCAATAGTGATCCTGGCTTTATGGCAACCACAGAGTCATATCATAAAACTTCAGAGCAGTGCTAATGATTAGAAACAAAAAACTCCACCCACCTTCCAGTTCTAGATAGAACTGATCCTCTCATAGGTGATAAAGGTCTTCTTCTCATTGGAGAAGCGCTTCTTCTCCTCGACAGGAGTGGTTTAGGCTTCTGATCATTGCCTTGCCATCTGAAAGAAAGACTGAGAACTAAATGTCATGCTATGAAGCTAATAAAAGGAAATGGAGGTGTGCAAGACTTCCTTAGAGAAATGTCAAACAAAACAAACACTCATTATACATAAGTAATAGAAACCCTGCTACATGGAAGTGAATGTCCTTCAATAATATAGGATTCGATTTGCATACTTTTACCAAGACAAGCCGCTAACATGGCTTTATCTTATGGCATACCAAAGCCTCTCACGTGTTTACCAGTCTAACCACCATAGGAAACACCATATTGCTACCTGGCAGCTCTTTCACTGTTTCTGCTGACGTTCACTCTGAGTTCACCTTTATTAGAATCAATGACAACTTTTCTGTCAGCTGAAAACAAAACAAAATATTCAATAATGATTTTTTGTAAAAACTGCAACCTCAAATGTGCAAGGGATTCCTAAAATGAGCTGCTTGAGCTGCAATTTGCAGATTACAGGATCAATGCTTTATAATAGAGTAATTTTTTTATCAAATTCATGTCTCTCAGTTCAGATAGGGGCGAAATTACTTCTACACTATACTAGCTAGTAGAACTATTCAAGAAACTTCAATCATCATTACTGAGAGAACGCAAGTCAAGCATGCAGGCTGTACAACAACAATAAAGTACATTCTTTTACCAAAATTCTATGTTCAGCGCAACTCGAAACTAGACTAATATATGTAACTTAGAATAGTTTTATTCAAAAATTATATTTTGATCAATTGAAAATTTGCAATATCAACAACAAACAGCCTAAACAAGATTTCTAATTTATGTGAAAATAAATCATCATTTTTCACAACTTTTCATTTAAAAACTCTTTAAAAAGGCTCTTTCTTACACATGAACCCTTTAAGAATAAACTCAATATTCCATTTTCAAAAATATTATTCCAGAATGTATTCAAAATAGAAGACCAAAGTTTTCCCCGGCTCCCAGTTCTAATTCAAATCTAAGGCATCGACAATCTGATGTGAAAAAGATTATTTTACTCTACATATGCATTGGCATGAATCCGTCATTTCTTTGTTCTCAATAATACCCAACAGCTTTGATTTTGAAAAACTTTCTTTTTCCATTACGTGTGGGTGATATTCCAAGTTGGTCATAATTTTTTTCTGATTTTCCTTATTTTAGTTCTATTACGAGTTCGAGGATGGTCTGTCTTAGCCAAGTGAATGTACCCCTAGCCCATAAGCAAACAAAATAAGTTACCTCAATATTGGTATACACACTTCTGGCACACCAGGAAGTTATAAAAACATGTATCATCCTAATTGGCTTTACAAGTGAAACACTAGTTGAAGAGAAAAACACAAACCTGCATCAGGCTGTCTTGCTCTTTTTCTCTCTGGTTCATCTTTACCTCCAGAAGCTCCAGTACTGCTACGTGATGAAGCATTTCTATTATGTGGTGGAGATCTGTTGTGTCGTTTCTCTCCACGAGGTCCACTGAAGATGGAATTCGGTGTTATATAGATACTTATGATGATAGACTATACACAAAAAAGCACAATGTAACCTAATTTAGATGCTTTTCATTTTGCTTGGAAATTCAGCAAGCGTTGAAAAAAGGATAAACTACACTTTTAATTATTAAACTTTTTGATCTTCCGTTACTATGGACCAGTGGGCAGTGGCCATCTTTTGGTCTGGGTTACAAAGCTGTACCTGTTTTTATTTTAAATGTTGCCTTATGTATATTTTTAGGTTTGGCTGTTAGAACCAAACTATTATAAAAATGCGATTTTTTTGAAAGCTTAAAATGTGACATCAGCTTAATTTATTTTACTACGTGAAGTCTGTGATATTCATTAATTAAAAGAGCTCTTGAATCTATTCTATGGAAAGATTGCCCGACATTGATTTTCAATAATTTACCAAGTTCATCAAATATTCATATTCCAAGAGTTACTGTTTGAACAAAAAACTAATGTTGTTTTGAGAGATTTTCAATTCTTGCAGAAATTTAGACTTACAATATTATGTCTCAGTTCAGATAGGGGCGAAATTTCTTCTACATTATACTAGCTAGTAGAACTATTCAAGTAACTTCAATCATCATTACTGAGATAAAATTATAATAATCCATCACTTATAACAACATCACACGGAAGCCCAGTGTTGTAACTTACCTGGCGGAAGTTCTCTCAGCACGAGATCTATCGCGAGCAGGAGATTTGGATTTTCTAGTGTTTTTGGTGTCATCTGGAAATATTTCAATTTTTATGATTAGTATAAGTATGTCAGCACGATGGAAACTCTACCTATGAGGCCGAAAACTCGAAAAACGTGTGTAGACATATTTGCATTTTTGATATTAATTTCATGCAGTGTTTTTATTGACTTTTTTTTAAGTTAGTCAAAGCAATGGATTTTTCGTAGAGTTTCTCTTGTCATTAAACAAATTCATTTAATCCTAAACTTATGCTAATAACCATTATCATCCAAAATTATTTTACACATTTATATTTTGCATACAAATATGGAGAATATGGACTTTGCAGAATATAACTTTGCAATATATTTGAATCGACCCCGAAGGCATACTGGCATTCAGTGTGAGCTGAGTTGTCATCAGATATAATATGACAAATATCATCATCATCATGCCAGATGCCACTGTGAAAGATAAATCCAAAAAAAAAATATGTGAGATTGGACCTGAACTATTTGTGGTATAGTCCAGCGGTTCTCCACCATACGGGGCCACAGAGCAGTTGGAGAGGGACCACCATGCCAGACAGAAATATCATTTTACTTCTCACTTCACAAGAAAACTCCTTGTTCTTCCTAGTTTCATTGTTGATAATGTTATTTCACATGGTGTTTTCCCTTTGTTGAGCATGATTGGCTTAAACATTATGGGATTTGGATTCTACCAATCAAAATAACACTATAATTACCACTGGAATAATAATCAGATGGTATGAGTGCTAAAAGTATCAGGAAGACAAGCCATTCAAGGTTGGGAACTACTGCTATAGTCCTTCCCTGGTGATCGTGATATCACTTTTGTGTGGATATGTCAAAAGTGAGCAAACAATAACTAAAAAGTCTTAAATACACTAAGAATATGTCACTAGTTTGTTAAATACACATATCCAAATTTAGTAGCTCATAAGATAGCAACCTACCAGTACTTTTTCTTGCAGCTGAACCATCTTTACTTTTAGCATCCGATGAAGCAGGTTTTTTGTCACTGCAAAATATATAAAATATAGAATATTATGGTGAAGAATAGTCTCTGAATGGTCAATGTTTTTTCAAATATCTGCAAGTCATGAAGGGCCTAATATTTTACGACAAATACATATTTACATATTTTTTGTGGGGAATTTGGCTTGATTTTTATTATTGACAGCTAACAGGAACACCTTGTATCATTCTGATCAATTTCTTTCACATATGACCTGCAATTTGACATTGAGCAATATTGATCATCATTTGACAGTCATGAATATTGCTCTCTTGCATAATATGATTGCACGGTGATATTGTAAGCTCAACGGAGTCACAATAAGCTAAGTAATTGATTACACATCATTACAGGTACTCATCGTTACTTCCTGGTGATCAGTCATTTCAAAATGATTGGCATTCAGTGTGAGCTGAGTTGTCATCAGACAAACATATGACCAGGAATATCATCATCATGCCAATGCTATTTTAAGCTAGACCAGGAGTGTGCAATCTTTAATACACAATACAAATAATGGTTCTCCATAGTATGTGTACCAAGATGGCGCACAACCTGAACATAGTGTGTGTACTAAAGTTAGGATTATCAGGTTGTGCGCCATCTTGGTACACGTACTACGGGAGCACATAAATGACACATAAGCACGAAAATTTTGATTATTGATCTTGTGACACGCGTTGTTCACTTTGCACAAGCTCAGATACCTATTAGTCTGCAAGTTGACAAGGCTACATTGCTAGAAATGGCCAAAGCGCTATGTTATAGTGGCGAAGTCCATCAATCAATGACACGCATTGTACAGCTACTAACTACAAACCTGTCTATTTTATCTTTATCTCCACTTGCATCCTTAGTGGATGACGATGTAGCAGCTCCAGACTGGCGTCTAGTTGATGTAGAACCAGGTTTGGAATCAGATTCCTTAGATTTCGATGAAGCGTCTTTCGATTCAGACTCTTTCTTGGCAGAACTGCTTGAAGCTGGTTTCTTTGAAGAGGCAGACGGATCACCTTTCGCCTTTAAAAATGAAATTGTAATTTTTTCAAGTTGTAAGGTTTGATTCTTGAGGGGCTTGTAAAGTTAGTTCGAACGGTTTATCACTAGAATCGAACAGTTTATTGTTTGCACTAATTAATACTTTTCCAATTGGACTTTATTCATGAAAACACCAAACAAAATAGTATGATTATATCTACCTGAAGGGTGTCTCAAAAATATCGTGTCCCACTCGACCCATGTATCACTTGTCCCACATGTTTTACTTGACCCATGTGTCCCCGCATTTTCGAAACACCACTATGTGAACACCAGCTTTTTAAAAAGCAGGAACGTGAAAATAAAAGATTCCTATTTTTTAGGTGATTTCCAATTCCCATTTATCAGAAATCCACCTAAACCTAGATTTTGGCCAGATCATAAATACAGAATTCTCTGCTGACGACAATTTTTCAAATTTTCATTATTGAAATACCTAGGTTTAAACATGGCAGGAAATTATTTCTGCTTAATTTCAGACCCAGAAAACCAATGTCTCAGTTCAGATAGGGGCGAAATTACTTCTACACTATACTAGCTAGTAGAACTATTCAAGAAACTTCAATCATCATTACTGAGGCATTGGTTTTTACGCATCTCAACTTCCGAGTTTTAGAATAGGTTGCCACTATACAGCAGGGTTGCTCAGTGCAGAGCAAATCACCATTCAACATGACTAAATTTAATTTAAAATTGACCAAGATTTGAGCTAATCAATTGGTTTCTGTGGAACTAACTACTCTAACTACGGCACAATTTTGGAAGTCTCTGTAAGGGGGACCCAAGTGTTGAAGTCTGTAAAAGGGGGCCCACAAATGCTGAAGTGTATGAAAGAGGGGCCACCACTGAGGTTTGGCATATATTTCAGATGTAATAAAATTATTATTTCAGTCTCCAGCATTTGTGAGTCTATTCTGGATGGAGTCACTTACAATTTCGACAGTGATCATTCGTCCATGCATCTCGGTATTATTCAGATGAAGAATACATTTGCTAGCAGCTTCTGCAGTTGCCATAGTGACGTAGCCATAACAACGAGAACCAGGACTTTTTACATTTGTCACAACTTTGGCTCCAATTACCTGAGAAAATTTTTAGCATTGATTAGTTGCTTCATAATTAAATTGTTCAAGTTGTGCGGACAATTTAAACAATAATAATTATGAGTGAATAGCGAGCATAATATGCTAGGTCGGGCCTTAGCAGAATAGATGTGAAAATTAGTGTTTGAAAGAAGTATGCTCATGATAAGTCTTTAACAAGGATTTTTCACAAAGGCGAGGATAAAAATGGAATGATTTGATTTTCCAAACGTCAGAAAATTATATCGACTTGACTATACCTGGTGGGAATCATCATTATAGTTATTAATCTATAAAATATGTAGGTGAACACGGACTGTATGAGAATTGCAACAAAATGATGAAACTTCGAATTGGCACTGGTGTAAATTCTCAGTCAGATTATTCAGAGATTATATTTACCATAAATTTATAATTTATCGATACTAAACTACAGGACTAATTATTGAATAAGAATACTCACTTTGCCATATCTGCTGAAAGCACTTTTCAATTCGCTCGCACGAGTTGTTGATGATAGACCACTGACCCATAAGTTCTTATTCGATGAATCGTCTTTCTTTGATGCAGAACCACTTTTACCACTAGAGGGTGTCTTATTTCCATCCTTAGTTGCCGAGGTTGAACTGCTCATTATGATAAAAGAATTATGTTAGATACAAAAAATAGCCATTTTTTTTTTGAAGTTCTACTCTAACAATGTTTAAAATATAAGTAAAACAATATCAAATGGCTAGGAGCGACTGACTTTAATAAATATTCATGCACAGAAAATGGCTTTTTTCTGATGTGAAATATAACGAGGCCAATTTTGTGTTAGTGTCCAAATCACCGTAGTTGATTTTGAGTATGATGCTGACACCAGAGCACGCTTATCCATAGGTCGGATAGTGGCATATCGGTAGCACGAGGGTGTAAAATTGCTCCATTGGCTTGTAACAACATTTACCACTCACGAACCTCTTTGATGATTGCCCTCCGGATTTTGTTTGGTCGGCTGATGGCCTTCTTAGGGAGTCTGAGCTTTGCCTTGTTTTGCGTTGTTGTGAGGGGGACATGGTTTTGCCATTGGTTGATTTCCCGGTATTTGTACCGTCGCTTTCTGAAGTTTTTGTCTGCTGGTCCTCTGGGTTTATGTTATTTTGATCGCTAGTAATCTCAAGATCATAATCCAACATGTCGAGGAAGTCTTCTTCAGCTGCAACTTCATCTTTCCCAGTCTCTGATTTCTCTTTCTCATCAACTAAATCTTGTTTAATGACTTTTTCGTCCTTTATATTTTCCACATTCATTTTGACATCTTGAATTGTACTTTCACTAATGTTATTGTCCATAGTATCCATTTTATTTAAAGTATGACCCGTTTCCGTTTGTGCTACATCAGCCTCTTCAATAGTCTTTTCAGGGAGATAGACTTCAGAGACGACTACCTCCTCTGTTAAGTTCTCTTGCGCAATGTCCCCTTCATTTTTAACGAGACTCCCAGCTGCAGGTTCCTCAATGGTTTCCTCCATATTGACATTGCTTTCAGACTCCCTAAATGCGGCCACTACTTGTTCACCCTCTCCAGTCACATCCACTGAAGCTTCTTCCTGAATTTGGCCCTCGTCCTCAGGATATTCACCAACATCCTCGTGTTCCGACCTGAAATCATTACCTTCCATATTAACCTCCTCTGATTCGATAACTTCCTCATCACACACTTGTTGAGTGTCTTCCTCATATGTAGAACCCTCATCATCTTCCTCATCTCTCGTTGGAGTGGCATCGTTGTCGTCAGCCGGTACCTCTTCAGTGTCTTGAGTGCGAACTTCCTCTGTAATTTCTTCCTCTATTACGACGTTTTGTTGCTCGATTTGAGATGGATTGACCGAGTGAAATGATGCCTCACCAATTGTATTGGAGCCATTGATTTCTTCTGCCCTTTCTACATAGGATTAGTAAAACGTTTGGCGAATAAATTACAATAATAATTTTAAGCATAACTAATAGAAGGTATTTGTTCCCCCCTAGATATTTACATAATGAATATATTATTCCCATTCCCTTATTTTTCAATTTAAATTTGAAATCAAGACTCCATACTTTTGTAGATTGAATTTCAAAACAAGGCTTGACGGCTGCCATGCAATGAACAGATGACTGAAAAAAATTGAAACGCTCAAAACTCCAATCTTCGAGTTAACTTTCTTTTTGAAGAAAATATACTTTGAATGAATTTGAATAAGAAATCTGGCTGCAAATTAGTCCATAATGATGTGGCATAAGCTTCCTAGTATGGGTTATTAACCGGTTGAACAAGACTGGAAATTTCCAAACTTAAGTAAGAATAAAACTTGTTGTGGTTGTTTGAAAACTTCAAGACCTTTTAACTTTAAAATATAAACTTTAAAAATAAAAATCCTCGACTTGGTGAATGAATAACTTGTTGTTTCCATCCTGCTGCTTCCATCCTTTTTCTATTTTTGTTGGTCGATATGAGAATACACGGTAGGTGATTGAGAACACACAATTTTGGTAGTTGTCCGATTTCATCACTTTTATCGATATGCTGGCTTGCATGTATGGTGCTTGCATTACAATAAACTTTCACGACCTTGCTCAACTTTGAGCAAAATATAAAAATCTATAAATATAAAAGTAAACTTTCTTACCAGTTACTTCCACAGTGTGAGGCTCTCCAGTCTCCACTTTTTCCTCCTGTAGATAAATTTACATTTAATTTGCCAATTCAACTGCAGGCTATGAGATTATATTTGTGGATAATTGTGATTTTGAATATGCCATCTTGGGCATTATTTCAAAAATCTCAATTAATAACCTGCTGTTTTATGCCCTAGTGCTATAATTTTAAATCTGAATTGGCCCATATATCTTACAATACACACATATTTGTATATTATTAATTGTAAGCAACTCCCAAGGTGAAAATCAAAAGTCTCATGGTCAGAAAAGTCTCATGGCCAGAAAAGTATGTATACAAAAGCACAGAATTGCTACTAGTCTTCCAAAATGATGCCTAGTTTGCCAACTTGGACCAATTTCCCCAGACTGGATTCAATGGCATGTGCACGCCCGAGGGCGCTAGCGGATGTACTCAACAGTATTTAGAGTCAAAGTCAGTTGCACGCGGGCACAGTCGTTTTGCACACAGTGATCTCTGATTGCACGCCGAGTATTCTGATTTACACGTGGGAATTCCTGATTGCACACCAGATTTCTCGTTGGAAAAGGCCATGAAATCTATACTGGGCCTTTCCCACACAGTTGGTTTTGTTTTGCAGACTGATGACGATTTACTTGGTATTCAACAAACAAATACAGACTAGAACGTGAATCAAATAATTAGAATTCTTTCTGAATAATAGTCATCAATAAACAAACCTGAGATGACTCTTCTTCACTTTCAACAGTGCGCTTCAATCGCCCGACAGACCTTCGAGAAGCTTTTGGTGAAGCAGTTTCTGATGCAGAGAATTCAATTTCACTGGCATTACCACCTTCTTCCTCGATGGCCTAAGAACAAAAATACATCGTAAATTCAAGCCTGTTTTCAGGTTTTTGATAGAATAATTGGAATGCAGTTGTAACTTTTTTGTCAGAGTTTCATTCTTCTCAAAGACAAAATCTATGATTATTGAAAATAATTTGAAAACTTGAATACGAAATTCATTGGTACAATTCATTTACCATATGATAAAATACTGAAACGAGTCTTGATTTATTTTATGTTAAATCAATACAGCAATAAGTTGAAACAGTAAAACAGTTTGATATAAAGTGAAGTCTGAACATTAATAGAATAATAGGTCAGTGAATGGATGCATTGACAGCTTCTCTTCAGACTTCAATTTTATTCTAGTGCAGAAGTCAAACAGTACCGTAACCCAGACATTTTTTTTATGCTCCAGAATACAGCTGCAATCCGGAATGTATTACAGTATTCAAGCTGAGAAGTAGACTAGCCTATAACCGGAATGATAAGAAAATATTCAACAAATTCCAATAATCTGTAACAAACCTTTTGCAGTCGCTGAACAAGAACACCTTTCAGTCCTTTGCTTTCCAAGCCACGTTTTTCGAGCTCTACTTTCAGCTCAGCAACTCTCAGATCGCTGACCTTGCGCTTCATTATAAGCAACAAAAAATGAATTCAGATTCCAAGAATCAAGTCGTCAATGTTAACAAGGCTGTTAGAAAATTCCTATCCCGATTCTACAAAAGTTTCTGAGTCAAATGCAATGACCAGAATTTACAAACGTGCTGTCCACGCAGCTGCGACGTTTCACACATATTGCCACGGCTTCCACGAGACTAACCCTTCTAATTTTAACTGCGCTAATACCTGCGCAGTAACCGCCATTTTCTTGCGTGAGAAGTGTACATTTGGATTGAGATCCTGAGACTGATTGACATTTTTACGACAACTTGTGAACAAATGTGATAAAACAATGTTACAATGTCATTGCTCGAAGCAGGGCCACACTCACATATTTAGAAGTGAAGGATACCTACGGCTCAGCAAAGTTACGCAAACCACTAAAATACCAGGAGCTACTGAAACTTACAGGGTAGCGTAAAGATTATGGTGGCGCATGACACACTAGCAAATGGCGATTGACTTGAGGCTTGTAGCATTCCAGGTCAATATGATCATAAAACGGTTAAGAGGTAGTGAATTTCCCGTAACTAAAACTTTCGACTTAAAAACTATTTGTCTACATTAGAGATCAGTAAACGGGCTCATCGCGAACAGAGCACAGCGACAAGCTCCGAAAGCAGTCCAGCAATCCTCTCGCACATAATTATCCCCCACGGGTTTCGAATCCGCAAATTAACTGGGTTCCTAATGCTCAGCACGATGCGCCACACCGCACGTTCGAAGTGTTTTCGTCGCGCCATCACTGATATTGCATTCGGGAAAAACTGGTGTGGCGCGCATGGGGTAGCCTACATTTTGTGCTATTGAGAGCACAATGTATGAAAATGTAAACAAAACAAAGAGAAAAAACGGTGAAGGGCAGTGATTTTTTTTTCTCAAACGCACCGTGTTCTTGTGAGCTCGGCGCAAATCGCACGCATCCTTTCATATTTGTATTTAACTTCTATATGCACATTGCATTATGTTTGTATTTTATTGATGAAGTAATGCGGTCACACATGCATAAGGTTGCGTTTTTACAGACCTTTATCAAAAATATCACTAACTGATTATGTGGGTTACTATTCGACTGCATTGACATGTGTAGACTGCACTAAAGAATATAACTTTCTTAAATATACGAAGACAATATTAATTTAATTAGGATAAGATTTACATATTTATTCCGGGAAGATGAAAAACGCTAAGTCAGATTAATCCCATAATCTCATATGGCGGCGAACCACCATCTGTCAGAGTCTAAGACTTATACGACACAATTTCTAATAACCTAACGCCGATTTCATTATTATCATTATTTAAAATAGGGCAACGAAATCTTTAGTCCTTGGTGCCTCTAAAATGCATGATCTGGCCCTGGAACTACCGACGCACGAGCCACACCATTCTTCAAACAGAAACATGAGTCCGATTAGTTCTAGTATTGATTAGGATTTTTCCGATCTTGTCGAATCGTAAAATTTGATCAGTTCTCGCCACACTGATTCCGCTCTATTGCAGTCGATCACTTATTTTCAAGATCATTCATCATTATCATCATCATTCATTATCATCAATATCAAGAATCCCAAGAAATGCATTCATTTTTGTGGAATAGAAAATTGATTGACCATGCTTTACTATGGTGGCCCATCGTTATCACGCGTAAAATTGAAAAAAATAAAATAAAAAATAAAATAAAAAACTTAAAATAAAAGTAAAATGAAAAAAATAGTTGTGAAAAAACATAAAAAAATGTAAAAAAAAATCGAATAAAAAAAATTAAAAATAAAAACGAAAATAAAATAAAAACAGGATAAAAAAAAGCAAAAAATAAAATTGAAAAAAAAAAAACCTAAATAAAAAGAAAAGGTTGACAACGATGGGCCGCCTCGTGGCCCATCGTTGTCACGCGTTTTTATTTTGAGAAAATTTGGTTCTGCTTGGGATCAACGTTGTCATGCATAATCTTACGCGCACAAACGGTGTTCCCTGGGTTTCTAACTCACTACAGTTTTTTTGAGCAATATTCAATAAATTCAAAACGAAAATGTTCTATAAATTCTTCGTGATACAAGTTCAACCAGAAGTAATATATTTATAATAATGATAAGAGATTATGAAATTGAGTACGAAAATTCGGGAAATTTGTTTTTACGTGTAGAAGGTAATTGAATTGGAGAATGCTGCTCAACTGCTCAGTTGTCCGGACACTCTTGCGATACCGGTACCGTCTGACCGTACCTGTACCCGTGCAATCACTCATGAAACGAACGGGAGATACGGACGAATGATACATTGCGCGGGCTCAACCATTTATTTCAATCCATCCCTCGATTCACCATATTCTACTAGAGTCCAGGGGTTCCCAACCTGGGTTTCACGAACCCCCAGGGGTTCACGAGAAGATTTCCAGGGATACTTGAATGGCAGTTGAGATTTTGTGTTTTTTTTACAATATCCTTCGTTGTTTTATTTACAATATCCTTCAACAAAGGAAAACTGAGTAACTACCAGATGAAAATGCATGCCAATTGAAACTCAGCTAGATTTTCCCTGATCTAGCGTTGTTGTGATTGTGACACAACAATGTGAAATGCACGGCTTTTCAGCCAAACTGTGAAATCTCAAAAAACAATGTACTGCGAGCATTGCATTTAAGAGTGATTTGCTAAATTGAAACTTAAGAGGGGTTTCAAGAATTCGTTAGTAAGGTGGAGGAGAAAACCAAAAACATTAACATGAAGACTTAATTTAGTTACAGCAATTGGTCATTAAATTGTCGTTGCACCAAATTGTCAGTCAACATATCACAACTTTGTTTGGTGTCTGATTACTATGGGTTCGCGTTGATTGTTTCATGACTCGAGGGGTACTAAACAGAAAAAAAGGTTGAAAACCCCTGTTAATTAACTAGACTATTCGTATCTGTCACTCGTTTCATGAGTGACTGTATGCTGGGTACTGGGTACGATCAGACGGTATCGGTATCGCACGAGTGTCCAGACAACTGAGCATTTAAGCAGCATACTCCAATTCAATTACCTTCTATATATACGTAAAAACAAATTCCTCGAATTTTCGTATTCAATTCTATATTCTCTTATAATTATTTTAAATATATATATTACTTCTAGTTGAACTTGTATCATGGAGAATTTATAAACATTTGCATATTGAATTTATTGAATATTGCTCAAGAAAATCAGTAATGAGTTAGAAACCCAGGGAACACCGTATGTGCGCGTAGTATTATGCATGACAACGTTGGTCCCAAGTCGGAGCAAATTTTCTCAAAATAAAAACGCGTGGCAACGATGGGCCATGAGGCGGCCCCTCATTGTCAACCTTTTTATTCACGTTTTTTTTCTATGTTTTTTCACAACTACTTTTTTATTTTACTTTTATTTTGAGTTTTTTATTTTTTTTTCAATTTTTATTTCAATTTTACGCGTGACAACGATGGGCCACCATACTTTACATTGGTTAGCTTATATATATATATATTCCATCAAATTTCGGAAAAGATGTTGTGTGGCCTCGATATAGTTTCAAAGGTTATGGATCGTCAGTATGTGTGATATCGTTTCAATCTGTAAAAGAGCATAACGCCTCGCCAATTTCGACATTTTTTGTGAGATGTTTTATAAATTTAAAAAGAGTAAACCAGAGATAAGAGAATCATGAGAGTGGCACAATCAGACAGGAAGGATCAAAATGATGAACCGTTTTCCAGTCTTAGTATTCCTTCACTGACAGCCAAAAATTTGGTTTGCGGATTCACTCCTTAAATTATTTTGTGCACCTTGTCGGTTATCGCTGATGATTGCATATCAACGCATTTTTCTTGTAAAAAGGAAACTAATATGAACCATGCATAAAACGGGATGTTGTATTATCTACACAAATATTCACACATTCAATAGTTAAAGTAGTGCACACGATAGTCCCAGATGAACGCCATTCATTTATGTATGATTCAGGTGTTTCGAATCAACGCAGTACTGTACGTTTAATGTATTTTGGGGGTAATTAGCCTCGTCGCGGGCTGCCAAGCGCGGCGTTGTTATTAATTAAGTAAGATTCTAACCTGTTCGATCCTCGTCAGTAGCGATAGCTCTGGGGAAGCGTAGAGACGTGGTCAGTTATCAGGCCAGGCACGAGGGTGGGTTCGAATCCCCACACAGGCTAAGCTGGGAGTTGTAAGAAAGACAGGTGCTGATAGGGATGGGGAGAAGGGGTCCGGCGGGCAAAAGAACAAGCAAGAACAAGTGGAAATAGAAACCAGAAGCAGGTAAGACCGTCAACAAAGAAGCCGCCGCTGCTGCAGGTCAGTCACGAGGAATAGAAACCAGCGAGGCACACCTCCAAGGCGCACCAGGACGAGAAATAAAGAGATGGCGCGGGATAGCAAATTTTAGCTGAAATAAGGCAAGCTGAAAAGAAAGCAAACAAGCAGTCAGGAAAATAAATAATGAAACCAAAAATTATCGACCAAAAGATTAAGATTAGAAAAAGCAGTTGCAGCAGTAGTCAATGAAAATGAGAGAGAGAGACCCCGCAAGCAAGAAAGAAAAGTGGAGGCCAGCAGCATTAAACATTGATTATCATTCGAACAGGCCGGCCGGGAAAGTTTCAGATGGGGAAGGGAAAAGAGTTCAAAACAAATATTCCAAATCCGCGTGGAGTGGAATAGTAACAACGAGGTAAGAAAAATTAATAAGGGCTTGAAAATAGCGAAAAATCAGCGATGTTCTGAGGCAGCCAGTCGGTAAGCAAAATGGAAAACTAAAGACGGAGTTGAAAATAGAAAATCCTAGTATGAGGTGAAATTATGATAAGTGAGCCCTTCCGAAGCAGTCAAGGAAAAATAGAGATGAGAGCAGATCCGGCAAGCTGACAAGAAAAATGGGCACAAAGGCTTCATCACGCCGACGCACCAATTGAAATGTAAAGTGTGGCGTGTTTGTTTGTGTCGCGGACAATACTGTCTGCGTTTATATTGTGTGTGTATATATATATATTCATGTTTATAGACTGTAATGTTGACCCTTATTTACGGCTGTTCTGTCGGATTTGGACTCCGACCACTCACTACATGTGAGGCAAAAACTGTCTTCCGGTCTCTCTTTCTCTAGCTGCCGCGCTGGCGGTCGGGTGTGTTTTCGGTTCTCTAGTTATTTTTTTGTTTAATC